GGATAGATAATTTTGTTTTTTGACATGGAATTCATATTTTCATTTTTACAAACATTATGTTAGTAAAGTAAAATAACCTTCAGAGCCTAACGGTCCATTGGATAAGTGAAGTAGAGTTCACCTGTTTCTGTGACCTTGGCATATGAAGGCAGTGTTTCTTCCAGACTTTTTTCTCCCGGGGGGGGGGGCACTTGAAACTTTCGGGGGGGGGGGGGGGGAGCGGTCAACATTTTTCGGGGAGGGGGGGGGGGGCGGACACTAGTAAAAGTGTATGCTTATTATATAAAATCCATCACGTTCGAGGGGGGGGGGGGGCGATAGACTCCCCCCCCCCCCGGAAGAGATGCCTGGGAGAAACTCTGTATGAAGGAATAGTGTCGTCACTATGCATAGCATCCCTTAATTTCACTAACGTGACTCGGGTACTCATCAGAGCTGGGTGGACTCAGGGTCATTCTACTGACAAATCCCGGATTCCAATTCTAGACTTACATACTGAGACATTGCGTGAAATTTTACAACTACTTGCATGGTTCTATTGTTGTTGTTCTTTTGGCCTTATCGGACAATTCCAGTTTTTTTTTTCCTTTATAACATGCAAATAATCACTTCCATAAAAATTAAAGAAACAACAAGAAAAATTAGAGTTTTGCGTTGTGGTTTTTTAGTACACATCTTGTTACGACTTTTATAAAAATATAATATTATTTATATCAATAAATTATACAATTATAAGTTTAGAAAAAAAAAATTGGTTTTTCAATCTACCACATTACATTTCACACACACTAAATAACTGAGTTTAATTTACTGCATAGTGTTTATCTTTATGCCACATGTCAGATATATGCATCTCGAGAGTCTTATCCTGCTCCTTGTAAGGTCAAAAGCTTCTATTTTATTTTGACTTAAGCTTTAAAAAATGTATCACTATACAATCAATTTTAAGTTTAAGTTTTATATTTTACATTAAAATCTATTTAAATTAATCGCAAAACCTTTTCATCTTTGGCGATCGAACAATTTTGAAGCACATTTTATGGCACGTTTGCAGGCATCTGTTATAAGGAAATTGCACCGTAACTATAATTCACACTTCCGGGTCTATCAGCATGTTTGTATATAGAGAGCAGTGAGTGATGGTACTTTGTGCACATGTTAAAATTAAACCTTAACTCTAGCTTTTGGATGGACGCGTGTATATAGATAGCAGAGTTTGCCTGTAACTCATGTTAAAATTAAACCTTAACTCAAACTTTTGAATCTATCGGCACGTGTGTATATAGCGAGCAGCGTTTGTCTGTACCTTGAACTCATCTTGAAGTACACCAGACAGTTGACGCTAGAGTTGACCGTCTCAAACAGGAAGGACACAATGTAGCATAGCAGCGCCACCTCGAAGTACGCCCCGTGTCCGGCTAGTTCCTGGTACAACGCCACCGCCGTCAAGATGGCCGACTGCGGGATCAGACACACGACGAAAATCACCGACACCGTCGTCAACATCACGACGGTTTTTTTCTCCTTACTCGGCACTTTTTCACCGGAAGTTGTTTTCACACCGGAAACAGATTTCCGCCATATTGCTTTGCTTTTGAGTTTAAAACAGATGACACTAGTGCAGATGATGAGAATTGAGAAAGTGAAATACGGTACAAACAGGTCGGTGATGAGGTAGGACACGCTGAAAACTTTGTTGGAGTTGGGTCTGAACGTCACGGTTAGTTTGGACACGTTTAACCGTGGGATGAACTGCCAGTCTAAGTAGGAATAAGCGAAGGCGGGCATGACGTTGAACACCAGGATACAGAAGATACCAATGTTGACAAACAATGCCAGTTTAGCCGTGAAGATTTGCTTCACTTTTAACGGCGCCACCACGCATGCGCATCTCTCGAGGGCGGCGTAGGCCGTGACGCCCCCGCACACACGGATGAAGTAGTTGTGGGGGTAGAAGGAGATTAGGCGTATGACCTCCAGGGGGAGGAAGGGCACGTCTGCTGCCAGGAACCAGGGGTTGATCATCAGGTTGGTCACTTGCAAGGTCAGTAACGCCCCAAGGTCACTTACAGCCAGCGCGGTCAGCGTGACATTGACACTGTCCGTCAAACCTTGTTTCACAAACACAATTATGTTCACGATGTTTCCTGCAATACCCATCAGACCGATTACCTCCCCGCATATCAGAAGGTTAAAGGTCATGAAGAAGTCAAGAACTGCAGGATTTATTAACCTAGAACTTCCTGCCATGTTATGGAAGGACGTAGTGTTGGTCTGTTGTTGTGTGGAAGATTCCATGGCAGTCAAGATATTCGCAGTTGTCCACCTTGGTCAAATGATCAATTACTATTGGTGAAATTGTGCAAGTCGGTATAGGAGATAAAAATACAAGTAAAGCTTTAAAACAAAAACTCTGGAAACAAATTCAGGTGTTTTGAAAGTCTGAAAATATACCTTGGTTCAGTGTTATTGAGCTGATTACTCCGTACGCAAACTCTCTGGTAATGTGCTATTGATATTTTCGCTCTTTCAACGGGTTAGAAACGAAATTCATCTCCTCCTGGATCTTGTTTGTTTCAAATTATCGTTATAATTACATATGGAAATTACATTTTTTGCGTGGATGTAATTAAACAGATGAAAACCCAATAACAGCAATTATCTGTGTAGTTCGTTTGTTGGCTGTGTGCAATTATTTTTAAATTATCACCGATACTTCACACTTGTTTACAATGGTTGCTTTATGATTAAAATTTCATTTTTTTCAGCCGCGTTTAATTTGAATAATAGAACGTCCTTTGTGCGAACGGTTTTTGTTTGATTTCACTGAATAGACTTGCTGTGGTTTTATTAATCATTGTTGACTCGTGCTAGCAAAATTAATTAAATAATTAGTGTAGTCAGTGTTAAATTACAGTATGTTGTGTATTTTAAAAATTTGATAATGTACTGCCTATGAAAACTGGAATTTTTAGAAGGTAGACACATTTTTAGCGACTACACTACACACAAAAAAATATTTCATAGGAATTTATTGAAATCCTTGTGTCTTCTTACTATAGCATACTTTTTAAATTAAAAATTACTCAATTTATTAAATAAAATTAGAATAATTTCATGATGTGAAAAATTAGAAAGTTTTATTAAATCAAAAGTAAACACATACAATAAAAACCACCAGTAATAATAAATCATTGTGATTGTACTTACAATATAGGCCTACAACTTTTAACACTCATACGATCTTTTCACAATTTTGAGTTTAAATTATAAAAATATATGGCCCTAAAAAAAATAAAAAAAATAATCTGGAAACATTTTCTCAAGAGACAATGATAAAAGCAATTTTCAATTTTAGTCAGTTTAAATACAGCATGTTTCAACACCCTCCTGATGTTTTCTAACAACTGTCAAGTGGCGTTACCTTGGCAACAGTCAAAAGATTAGATGTCTGGCACCGTTTAAACTACGAGACCAAAGCTGCTCCGAGTTTTTATCTTTTGTCCCAATTACTGCCAGGCTTAGGCTTGCCACTAGAATTTCCCAAACTTGACCATCGAGAACGGACACTTGAGCTTTCAGGCGGGACCTTTGACCTTTCACACTGTACACTTGACCATCCAGACTGGAACCTTGACTTTCCAGACTCCACCCTTGACCTCTCAGATTGGACACTTGACCATCCAGACTTGACACTTGATCTTTCAGACTCCACCCTTGATATTTCAGATTGGACAATAGACCTTCTAAACAGATCACTTGACCTTTCAGACTCAATCCGTGACCTTCCAGTTTGGAAACGAGACTTTCTTGTATCACTTGACTTGTAGGACTTGACACTTGACCTTCCAGACTTGACACTTGACCTTTTAGACTCCGCCCTTGACCTTCCAGACTTGTCACCAGACCTTCCAGACTTGACACTTGACCTATTGGACTCGACTCTTGAACTTCCAGACTGGTCACTGGAACTATTGTATTCGTCATCAGAGCATGTAGACCAGTCGTCAGAGCTTCCAGACTCCTCATCAGATCCCCTGGGTTCAGCTTCGTCACCAGATCCCCTCTGGTCAGCCTCGTCACCAGATCCCCTGGGATAAGCCTCGTCCCACGTTCCGCTGTAGTTCCGCCCATCCTTGCTCCCACTGTGTGGATGACCTGGCCGCCCACCCCCCAGGATGTAGACCCAGGCGCCGCTGCTCCCCGGGCAGGTGCACGACTCGTACGTGTACCTGGTCCACCCCTCCCTCACCGTGTCCCGATGCTCCCACGTCCCCACGGACACCTGTTTAGAACACCCGTGGGGGTGAGACACGATGACTGTAAACTTCTCCCTGAACATAGAACTCTCATATTTTTTCTTGATCTTGGCACAAATATCGAACAAGTTCCAGAACATTCCGTCGATTTTGTCTAATAGGGCCAGGTCATGCGTGACGTAATGCATCGGACGTCTGTCATCCAGCACGTCAGACCGCGCCGTGCTCACCCCCCACCCCGCCAGCCGCACCCCCGGGCTCCTGTCGTCATCAAACCACAGCCTGCACGTCGACCTCTTCGCTTCACTGTCGTCATACACCACATGCTTAGCCGTGAGTACGTCTATCTCCCCCCACTCCTTAGCCGTGAGTACGTCTATCTCCCCCCACTCCTTAGCCGTGAGTACGTCGATCTCCCCCCCACTCCTTGGCCGTGAGTACGTCTATCTCCCCCCACTCCTTAGCCGTGAGTACGTCGATCTCCCCCCACTCCTTGACCGTGAGTACGTCTATCTCCCCCCACTCCTTAGCCGTGAGTACGTCGATCTCCCCCCCACTCCTTGGCCGTGAGTACGTCTATCTCCCCCCACTCCTTGGCCGTGAGTACGTCGATCTCCCCCCACTCCTTGGCCGTGAGTACGTCGATCTCCCCCCACTCCTTAGCCGTGAGTACGTCTATCTCCCCCCACTCCTTAGCCGTGAGTACGTCGATCTCCCCCCACTCCTTGGCCGTGAGTACGTCTATCTCCCCCCACTCCTTGGCCGTGAGTACGTCGATCTCCCCCCACTCCTTAGCCGTGAGTACATCGATCTCCCCCCACTCCTTGACTGTTCATTCGTCTTCAGACAAACCTCGCACTCACAGAGCCTGTTGTCGATGTCAATGTACTTGGTCATCCCATCCACCCACCCACTTCCGGTTCTTATCGCCTTCCGGCCTCGGCTGGCGTAACACGGATACGGAGCCGTGGAGCCGGCAACAAACTGCGGTCTGTCTAGACTGGTGTACTTGACAGTGATCTGGACCGTCATGTCAGACAGACGCCGTACGAGTTCAAGAAGGTCGTCGTCTTGGTAACGCGCCGGAAGGTGCTTGGCGGTGAACTCCTTGACAGGTATGAAGTTGACGTGGCCAGGGTTTTTCTTGCAGTCCTTGTAGCTCTTGTGTAGGCTGGCTTCATGCTCTTCCTCGTCTTCTAGCTCCAGAACCTCGTGTGTGCCTGATGGATATGCCCGGGGTGGGGGGGGGGTAGAAAATATTTTGATAAAGCAAAGTAGGTTTCGATTATTGTATCATGTCAACCGTTATTAAAAGTAAACATCGTCTTTCTAACTTGAAAATTAATAAAAGGTTCGATCGAACCCCAGGGGTTCAGTGAATCAGTCTCAGTGGTTCGGTGGAGGCCGACACACACACCCGACTCCTATAACTCTCGACAGGATTTCGTCGGAGCGGATGGGACGATTATTAATAAAACGGGTGCAATAAATGCGCCTTTAAAACTGGTGGGGTTCGGTACCCCAAAAAGGTTTAGAACAATTTAGAACCATATATATATATATATATATATATATATATATATATATATATATATATATATATATATATATATATATATATATATATATATATACGAGAAAAATGGCCCGTTGAGGAAGGATACACCGGGCGCTAGGTTGATAGCGCTGTCTCTTTTCTCTAAACAAAAACCACCCCCCCCCACACACACCACCCCCACCCCCACCCACACCCCCACCCACACCACCCCAACCCCCCACCCCCCCCCACACACCACCCCCCCACACACCACCCCCCCCCCCCACCCCCACCCCTACACACACCACCCCACACACACACCACCCCCCACCCCCACCCCCCCCCCAAAAAAAAAACATGTCTACCGTCCCATTCAACGAAATATAATTATATACTTTTTCCAGTGTCCGCCCCCTCCCCGAAAATTCTACACCCGCCCCCGAAAATTTCAAGTACCCTCACCCCTCTCCGGGGAGGAAAAAGTCTAAATTAAAACCACCCCCCACTCACCCCCACCCCCCCCCCCCACACACACACCACCCCCCCCACCCCCACCCCCCCCCCCACCCCCACCCCCCCCCCCCAAAAAAAAAAGCATGTCTACCGTCCCATTCAACAAAATATAATTATATACTTTTTCCAGTGTCCGCCCCCTCCCCGAAAATTCTACCCCCGCCCCCGAAAATTTCAAGTACCCCCACCCCTCTCCGGGGAGGAAAAAGTCTAAATTAAAACCACCCCCCCCCCCACTCACCCCCCATCCCCCCCACACACCCCCCCCCCCTCCCCCCCACCCCCCACCCACAACCCCCCCCCCCTAAAAAAACATGTCTACCGTCCCATTCAACGAAATATAATTATATACTTTTTCCAGTGTCCGCCCCTCCCCGAAAATTCTACCCCCGCCCCCGAAAATTTCAAGTACCCCCACCCCTCTCCGGGGAGGAAAAAGTCTAAATTAAAACCACCCCCCCACTCAACCCCCCCCCCCCCACCCCCACCCCCCTCAGACGTTCTTACGCGGGGGTGGGGCTTCGCCCCTACCCGAAGAATTGTATGCAAGAAACTCTTCACGCAAACCATTTAGATTAGACAACATTTCCTTTTTTTCAATGTTTCAATGACGTCATTACATTACTGTGTGCACTCTCTGTTTTGAGATTATGTTCTACTCTACGCTAAATGTGTCGACGTCATATTTCGTTTTTCGAATTACTGTGCAGGTTTTTAAATTCCTTGTGTTTTCTCTAGAGCGTTCTTGTCAGACAGATAGATAGATAGAGAGACAGCGAAACTATTATTATATATATATATATATATATATATATATATATATATATATATATATATATATATATATATATATATATATATATATATATATGTGTGTGTATATAAATATATATATATATATATATATATATATATATATATATATATATATATATATATATATATATATATATATATATATAGCTCATTCTGCGTTTGCTGTCTTGAAAAAATGAATTTGTGTATAATTAGAGAACCGTTGCTAAACTTTGAGCTTCATGAGCAGCAAACTCAGCTGGTTATTGAATTATACTATTGGAAATTTCGTAACTTAATATTCGTTTTCAGATGTGTTGAGTATCAAATGCGATGTAAGAAATTCTGCTAGGTTGACATCATTAGAGATCTATGATGTCGCATTTTTGTCCGTCAAGTCACAGCACGCACCATGATAAACTCTACTCCATCTATCTTAACAATACTTAGTTCACCTTAAAGAGTTTAAAATAGTCACCATTAAAGTAATCTGAAATTCTTTTCCGGCTCATCTTGTAAGAGCCGAAAAGCTTGGTGTAACCTACAGAAGATGGAGAGAAAAATGTTGAATCCAATTTTTATATTTCGCTATCCTAATTACTTCTTATAAGTATTTAAAATGGCATAAAATATTGCACTGACCTGTCCAGTCTAAATCATGTTGCTTACCAATGTAGTGAATATGACGGTGTGGCTAACAGATAACAACAGAAAATTTTTAGATTCAAAGTTTTAATAGTTTAAAATACAATGAAGCAGCCTGAAAAGTGTACTCAACTAACTTTAAAAAGTATGTACAGACTGCTACTTCTGTACACACTGCTACTTCTGTACACACTGCTATTTCTGTACACACTGCTATTTCTGTACACACTGCTACTTCTGTACACACTGCTATTTCTGTACACACTGCTATTTCTGTACACACTGCTACTTCTGTACACACTGCTATTTCTGTACACACTGCTATTTCTGTACACATTGCTATTTCTGTACACACTGCTACTTCTGTACACACTGCTATTTCTGTACACACTGCTACTTCTGTACACGCTGCTATTTCTGTACACACTGCTACTTGTGTACTCACTGCAATCCAATGTCTCACATCACCCCAGTCAGCATCAACGACACATTGAAAAAGATTTTCTGGTAAAGCTTTTATCAGACGTACACCTAGCCCTTAGAAAGATAAAAATAAAACTTTGGTCGCCATATTGCACATTACCATTGATACCATCCCTATGTGTTATGTTTTAGTGAACAGTTGACTGTTGATACATTCAAACTCCTGCATGTTGTTGATTGCATTGGTATCTTGTTCGATAAAGCAGGTGAAATAATTATAAAACACGGCTTTTATCTTATACCTGGCCACTTTTGATGGATTAGCGCAATGATCACTGCCTAGTTGGCGAATGTCAAGTGACCGACGAAAAAACTGACGCCGACCAAATTGACGACCACCAAAGTGCCGACCACCAAAAAGCCGACCACCAAATTGACGACCACCAAATTGACGACCACCACAGTGATGACCACCAAAGTTATGACCAAAAAAGTAACGACCACCAAAGTGCCGACCACCAAATTAACGTACCAAATTGATGACCACCAAATTGACGGCCACCAAAGTGACGACCACCAAAGTGCCGACCACCAAATTGATGACCACCAAATTGACGGCCACCAAAGTGACGACCACCAAAGTGCCGACCACCAAATTGATGACCACCAAATTGACGGCCACCAAAGTGCCGACTACCAAAGTGCCGACCACCAAAGTACGACCACCAAAGTGATGACCACCAAAGTGACGACCACCAAATTGACGACCACCAAATTGACGGCCACCAAAGTACGACCACCAAAGTGCCGACCACCAAATTGACGACCACCAAAGTGACGACCACCAAATTGACGACCACCAAAGTGCCGACCACCAAATTGACGACCACCAAATTGACGACCACCAAATTGACGACAACCAAATTGACGACCACCAAATTGACGACCACCAAAGTGGCGACCACCAAATTGACGACCACCAAATTGACGACCACCAAATTGACGACCACCAAATTGCCGACCACCAAATTGACGACCACCAAAGTGCCGACCACCAAAGTGCCGACCACCAAATTGACGACCACCAAATTGACGACCACCACAGTGATGACCACCAAAGTTATGACCAAAAAAGTAACGACCAAAAAAGTAACGACCACCAAAGTAACGACCACCAAAGTAACGACCACCAAATTGACGACGATCAAGTTGATCACGACCTATTGGATTTGACAGTGTAAATGGTTGATCGGCGAAATTTCAAACAGTGTTAGATATGATGCTATCGTTTTATCCAAAATAAAATTACAATCTCAAATTGATGTTGTCTTTTTGCTTCATATATATGCAATTTTATACATTCAGAATTTGATTATAAATGTAAATAAACTTGTTTAAAAACCAAATCAAGAATATAAAATGCCAATGATAAAAATATTACGAAAAATCGATCGAATATTTGAAGTAATCAACTAACACGAATGAATGTCTAATTTGTAGTTTTGTTTGGTTAATCTCATTTGTTTTTGTGTTGAGAGAATCTACTATGAACGTCAGAGTACTTGCTTTTCTTTTGAACTGCTCAAATCTCTCAGTGAACCCATCCTTCATTTTGTTTATAGTAATGCTGAAGTGATTCATGTTAATAGTAGCGTTGGTTTTATTATGATATTTTTTACAGATTTTTCGAAATAAAGTAATTAACTGCTCTCCATGTCTTCAACAAAATTAAGTAATTTTATTTTTCCGAAACAATCATTTTCTTCAAACAAGGCATAGACTGGGTTTTCCTTTCCGTTCAGTTTTACATTTAGCTCTTTTAGTTTCTTTGTGATCTCCACCATGAAGTTGAATGTTTCAATTTGGGATGGACACGTTAATATGAAGTACATTGAAATAGGGCGTGACTAAATATTCTAATAGAATAGCGAGTGTTTATTGTTCGTTTTTTATTTTATCGTTCACTACCGAGTGTTGCCCCCCAGAAGAGATGCATGGAAGAAAATCTGAAGCCAAATAAAATGTGCGGGATTTTATTAATACTTTACAAATTCACATGCGTTTTTTTTTTTTTGTTGAGAAATCGAAAATGGCGTAAATAGTTATTTAAATAGTAGTCTATAATTTATTTCCTCCTTTTGGTGCATTATTATATTAAAGCATGTTATTAAAACGATTTTTTAAAGAAAGTTGTTTTTTTGAAAGAATTTTTTTTTTCTTAGTTTTTTTTCTTTCGCCTCAGACACGTAATTTATAGCGTCAATTGTGTGTTCGCTTTAGTATTACAGTTTTCATCACCGGCTTGTGAGGACTGATACAGATTTACAATAGTAATATTTCTTTCTTACTTGTAGCCTGCTTTCATTCATTTAAGATGGTTTACTTATACATAAATCTAATACAAAACGTCTAAATATAAAGAAAAAATAAAAATTAAAAACCAACCTGAAACGGAAAATGCAAATGTGTAATTAAATGATGATTCAAGGGATTTTTTTTTCGATGTGCGTGGTGGGCAGAGGGGACGGGAGGGGGGGTGGAATTTGGGTTTTTAAGTAGAGCTGGAAAAAAATTGGGATTACCGAGAATTAAAATTATACAAATTTTAAGCAATCGGAAAAGTTATGTTATTACAATGAGACACATCAAAGCAAACATTCTTCCCTTTCAAACATCTATATCTATACAGTCCTCAAACAGTTTTTTTTTTAATTTTTTTTTATTAATTCAATTGTTTTAAACATTTAAATCAGTAATAATAATATATTTGATAGATTTTACACAACATCAAAGACATGAACAATGAACATCAATTGCATATATAATAATCAAATGGAGAAAATAAAATGGCATAAGAACTAGATTAAAATAAGGTGTGCAAACTAGGTTTCTCTTGACTGCTTAGTTTAGTGTGCTGCGGTGTCAAAAGTTCACACTGTAGCCACCCATGGACAGAAATAGAAACGACCGTGGGAGAGGTGTCTCTGTAATACACATACTGATTTATCATTCCAAAACTTTCCATGACAAAAAAATGACCCTTGGCAATGAGGCACGCTACCTTGAAATATCCGCCAGTCCGGTTGAGTGGGGGGGGGGGGGGTTGAGGTGTGTATCTCTTTCTGGATAATGTAAAGAATAGTGCAAATCAAACACGCTTCCAGGACTGGCAATGAAATATAGTGACAGAGTTGGCTTTTCTATTTTAATTTATTCTACAAGCTTTTACTTTTGCTTACAAAACTGAGTGAATTTCATATTTAAGAGATATATTAATTTGAACGAATACTTTAGTTTGGATCACATAAGTAAACAAATTAGATTTTTTATTGCTTAAAACTAAGAATGTTTATCATGTTACTTTGAAAAATGTTTCATTTAAGTCCATGGAGTTAGGCATGTTAAACATTGCAAGTTCTTTCCCCTGAGCGGGTTTTAGTAAATGTGTCAAGTCTTTTTAGTTATTCCCCCTAAATTATGTTTTGTACGTAGCTTGTATTTGGATGACTTGTTAACAACACAGCTAAGAAAAAACTGGGAGTCATCCTGAAAATCACAACGTGAAATCGAGGTGTGGTAGAGTTACTTTTTAGAAGATAACAGAAAAGAAATATGATAGCAGTGGCAGGAGAGGGCGTTAGTTAATGTGGGTGAATGGCCACCATGCTTAGTGCTTTTGTGGTCGGTGTAGGCTTCGTTCAATGGGACAATCACGAGAACCCATCCATGTTGTGACACAAGACCGACATAAACGTCTCCATGGAGAAAACATAAGCGTCATATAAACTACAAAAGACGCCGTAAATAGAAAATATGGGACGTCACAAAGAGAGAACAAAGGACGTTATGTAGAGATAACTTGGGACGTCGTATAGAAAGTACATGGGACGTCATGTAAATATACTATTTTACGTCATAAACTAAAAACGTGGTATGCCTTATAAAGAGATCATTGGACGTCATATAGAGAGAAAACGGGAAATCGTATAGAGAAAACATGGGACCGTATGTAGAGTACAAGGGACGTTGGATAAACAAAGTATTGGACGTCATATACAAAGAACATGGTATGCTATAAAAAAGAACGTGGGACGTCCAAGGGAGGTCCTATAGATAGAATATGGGATGTCCTATAGAGAGAACACGGGACGTCAAATAGAGAGAATATGGGACGTCCTATAAGGAGTACCTGGGACATCAACTCGCCCCAGCAACGGCCAGTCACGTGACCTACCCAATCAACAAAGTGGTCAACTAGTGGTCAGCTAGTGGTCAGCTAGTGGTCAGCTAGTGGTCAGCAAGTGGTCAGCTAGTGGTCAGCTAGTGGTCAGCTAGTGGTCAGCTAGTGGTCAGCTAGCACAGAGTTGCTCAGTACATCCAAGAGGATACAACTTTAACACATCCTCTTAGATAACCCAGTCAAATGATGATCAGAGTTTCGTCCAGGCATCTCTTCGGGGGGGGGGGGGGCGACGCCACACCCTCCTCTCCCCCGAACAAAATGGAATTTATATAGAAAATATATACTTTTAACAATGTCCGCCCCCCCCCCCCCGGAAATTTTAGTCCACCCCCCCCCCTCCGAAAATGTCAGGTGCACCCCCGGAGAAAAAAAGTCTGGAAGAAACACTGATGTTGAATGGGTAGTTGTGGAACTTGTATCTTTACACTCAACTTGTCAGAATAAAAAAGTACCTTATGCTCGGAGATAGAAACGAATTGCTGCTATGGAATGTTAAGCCTTAATAGTTGCATACATTAACAAAAACATGTTACATGTTCGTTTCAATTATATACAACACGATGCGCAGAGGCGTAGCAAGGGGGGGGGGGCTACATATGTCCCCGGGCGCCGACCCTAAGGGGCACCAAAATAGGTTGGAAAAAAATTAAAACCTCATTTTAGCTGCAGTTTTGCATTATAAATATAACAAATATAGGGGGGGGGGGCAGACTGAAAGTTTGTCCCCGGGCGCCGGAAAGGGTCGCTACGCCTCTGACGATGCGTTCTACTGTTACGGACACAATGCTGATTATGTTAGGTATGTCCAATATATAGTAAAGAAAAAATGCAGTTGTATAATGTTAGCTTCTATGGACAACGTTCTTTCTTATTGAATGTAATAGAGGGATCTTTTGTATTTGTCAGACACACTTGTCGATTTCTACCAGTTGGTGCTGTAGTGGATAGTTCAGTTGTGTTTTTTAAAAGATTTGGAGATTAATACATGATAATGCTCGTGTTTTAGAGGGAAGGGGGGGGGCGGGATTTTGTATTTCTTATTTTAAAAAGGTAGGGTGGTAAAATTGTGTGGCGTATATTAAAAAGAAAAGTCTGGATTGAATGAAAGCTTGAAGTGTGGGTCTTCTTCTTCTGATTTCTTAATTTTAGTGTTGGAAGGGATCGAGCCTTATCTGCCAGAGGGTTTGAACTCGAGACTTTTTTTCGAATTTATCGACCATGAGCTTTTGCCGACTCGACCACAAATTAAGGATACGTGTCAACTGGTTATGCTTCCATAGCCTTTGTCCAACCAAGAACAAACTACAAGGCAGCAGTTGTTTGATTTTGGAGATGTCTAGCGAGCCTCATCTGCCCGAGGGTTCGAACTCGAGACTTTCGGTTAAGCAACCATGAGCTTTACCGACTTGACCACGCCGACCCCAGAAGTGTGGGAGATTTGGTCAATATTACATGGCATGGTTTATGAACGATTTTTTTTAAAGACTTTTATTCACGGTAATTGGAATTTTAAAAAACACAGCCCAATATGTTTTTAAAAACAGAGCAGCTAACATATTTCTGAAACGACAAAACACCCACACACACACACACACAACTCACACCTTCAAATGATGAGGACGACACACTTTAAAACCGTGCACTGCCGTCTCTCTATAAAATACTTTCTGACACAGTCGTCAACCTGCACTCTATACATTTTTAATCAAGGTCCGCCCCTGAGTCAAGTATTAGTTTAAATTTGAACAGAGAGAAATAACACAGCACTGGTGTGTAGTTGTTAGAATTCACGGACTGATTTGAAAAGGCAAGTCTGGCCAATTAATCGATTTTAGATTTGATTTCATACAATCTTTTTAGCTACTGTTTTTTTTTTAAGTCTGTTTTAGTGGATAATAAAAATAGAAATATATTTTGACTAAGAAAAACTAATTATTCAGAGAAAAAAATGACCCTGTTTAAACGATGCTTATCTTTTAAGTTTAATGGAAAGTTGAACGAAGTTAAATTTATTGTATAACAATATTAATGTTTCTTTTACTAGCTACATGATCTTTATTCTTTCTAACACAATAAAATATCTTTAATAATAGAAAATCTCTATGACAATAGAAAATCTCTATAACAAAATAAAATCTATAACAATAGAAAATGCTTGTTCAACTGTTCCGGATTATAGCAAGCCTTGTAGCCTACAACTTTATACACATGGAGTTCAGAGTAAGAAATTTTACTGTTTGCTCATAAAAGAAACATTTGAATATAGCAGAGAAAAGTGGACGACCGGTTATGATATTTTTTTCTGTTCAGTTCTAGCAGTAAGATGTAGCTCTGTAGATTTATGTTTGTCCTGGAGAAACTTGGAGACCAGGCAACGATCTAATGAGCTATATGTCTGGAGCACAACACATTTATATCAACGATCTAATGAGCTATATGTCAGGAGCACAACACATTTATATCAACGAGCTTATGAGCTGCACATCCAGAACACTAGAACACTAGAACACTACACATTACACTAACGATCTAATGATCTATACGTCTAGAACACTACACAGACACACATACACACATACACATACACATACACATACACATACACATACACATACACATACACATACACATATATATATATATATATATATATATATATATATATATATATATATATATATATATGTATGTATATATATATATATGTATGTATATATATATATATATATATATATATATATATATATATATATATATATATATATATATATATATATACTACACTTTACACCAAACGGCTTACTAACCAAGAAATCTCATTGTACTCAGCTAGCTACTTAATACGTAACTGCGAAGAAAACTAATCAGGCTATATATAGCATATATATATATATATATATATATATATATATATATATATATATATATATATATATATATATATATATATATATATATATATATATATATATATATATATATATATATATTTATTTATTCACGTTCGCCATAGAGCCAGATTTAACCTTACCTTTACCAATATCACATGATGTCACCAACGACGTATGCATACACAGGTGAATGTCCAGATGGTGACAAACCTGGTGAGTCCTGGTACCCTGCAGGGTGCCAGAAATGTGATTGCCATGAGAACGAGTACGCCTGCTACAGGTACAAATAAACCGCTATATAATGCTACCTGCTTTTTTGAACAATTGTAAACACACTTGCTGTCCTCGTCAGTGCAATAAAAACGCAATGTTTCGCTCTTAAATTGCGGGTGGGAGGGGGCGGCCACTAGCTAAATCATATTTAATTTTTTTTTAACGCATACAAAAAGGGGTGGGGGGGGGGGCGGTAGACTTTATTCCTGGGGATGGGAGGGGAGGGGGGGGGCTGCGCCGAAGAGATGCTGAAAGAAACTCAGTACTAACTACATTATTTAAACTAATGAACTAAATTGTGCATGATCTCTGATGGTGTGTGTGTGTGTGTGTGTGTGTGTGAGGGGGGGCGGTAGACTTTCTTCGGGGGGCTTAGCCCCCCCCCCCCCCAAGAGATGCCTGTAAGAAACTGCATCAACCTAGCTGTAACGGTACCCAAGTTATCGTGTTTACAGATATACACATACACACACTCAGACATACGGACAAAATTGCAAAACTATGTTTTCCGGTTCAGGGAGGTGCTACCAGCTGTGGTTTAAACAAGAACTTTTATTTCCATTAACTCGACATACTCTCTGAGCAAAAACGCTCCATAGTGACGTAGTGAACAAAATCAACATCCGGTTGAATGCTAACACTGCTTGTTTGTTTATTCACGGAAAATAAAAATTCTGAAAGAAATTGTAAGCGATTTTTTTTATGTTAGGTTAAACCATCTTTCAAAGTGTACGCCAAATATGTGTACATTTTAAAGACTTTATATTAATTAACCTTAAAACGAGAAACTTGTTCTAAGTTGTAGTTTTTAATTTTAAGTTTGATTCTGAAATATCATACAATAATATTTATCTAGATCTAGATCTATATCTATATCGAGTAGATCTAGATCTAGAATCTAGATCTAGATCTTTATAATATTCTATATCTTGATCTAGATCTATCGGTGTTAAAATGGCGGAAGAATTTGGGCAAATCTATTGTTGCTGTCGCTACTACACTATACAAATAAAGATGCGCTGGCTCAAACACTACCTCAGTCGTTGTTTTCATTGATGTGCATTGGAGTAATGGAAGATTATTACTAAGGACTCAACTAGCGGTAGAGAGCTGGACTGCTAACCCGTTAGTCTCGAGTTCGAATCCGGGTTCGAGTCAGTAGACCGTCCCTGAGTCCACCCAACTCTGATGGGTACCTAACTCACGTTAGGGAAAGTAAAGGCGGCTGGGCATAGTGCTGACCACACTATCTCTTCATATGCCGAGGTCACAGAAACAAGTGAACTCTACTTCACTTGCCCCATAGACCGTCAGGTTTGAAAGGGAAGCTTTACTTTACTTTACTTTACTGAGGACTCAAACAACAATACATAATTTAGATTTATTGTATTTTGGAATAAGAATGTTTAATAAATTTTAATTGGCTATATACATGTTGACAATTTTATTTGCTTTAGTTTTTTAAAACATTAACTAAATACATTTTTTCGGCATAAATATTATAAAGTATATGTCATAATTGGAGCTCTTGCGTCTATGTTTGGTTTGATTATTTTTTTTTAAATGTGACTAAAGTTTTTCCAATGACAAAAATCAGAAAGTCTGTAAAGTTAATAGTACCGCCAACGTAATCTAGCGTTAGCATTAACTCTAGGTATCATTACAACCATTCTCCTACCAATAACAGTGACCACATACTTAATCCCGACTCTAATCCTGATCCGCCTCTAATCCTGATCCGCCTCTAATCCTGATCCGCCTCTAATCCTGATCCGCCTCTAATCCTGATCCGCCTCTAATCCTGATCCGACTCTAATCCTGATCCGCCTCTAATCCTGATCCGCCTCTAATCCTGATCCGCCTCTAATCCTGATCCGCCTCTAATCCTGATTTAGTCCATGATTTGTTGTGTCTATCTCCAGGGCAACCAAGATGGTGGCGAGGTGTATGCAGCCTTTGGTTTAGTCCATGATTTGTTGTGTCTATCTCCAGGGCAACCAAGATGGCGGCGAGGTGTATGCAGCCTTTGATTTAGTCCATGATTTGTTGTGTGTGTTTCCAGGGCAACCAAGATGGCGGCGAGGTGTATGCAGCCTTTGATTTAGTCCATGATTTGTTGTGTCTATCTCCAGGGCAACCAAGATGGCGGCGAGGTGTATGCAGCCTTTCCTCCTGAAGCACCAGGACAGCGGATGTGAGCGCCAGCCCTGCCCTAAAGGTGACGTCTGCAACTTGAACCTGCGACAGGTGTTGGGCTTCAATGGGGAGGTGAGATGTCGTGGTTGTGGTTGGATGTTGCTGGATGTTGCTGGATGTTTTTGGATGTTGCTGGCTGTTGTTGGATGTTGTTGGATGTTGCTGGATGTTGCTGGATGTTGCTGGATGTTGCTGGATGTTGTTGGATGTTGCTGGATGTTGCTGGATGTTGTTGGATGTTGCTGGATGTTGTTGGATGTTGCTGGATGTTGCTGGATGTTGTTGGATGTTGCTGGATGTTGTTGGATGTTGCTGGATGTTGCTGGATGTTGTTGGATGTTGCTGGATGTTGTTGGATGTTGTTGGATGTTGCTGGATGTTGTTGGATGTTGCTGGATGTTGCTGGATGTTGTTGGATGTTGCTGGATGTTGCTGGATGTTGTTGGATGTTGCTGGATGTTGTTGGATGTTGTTGTACTCGCAGATTGTATTTAACTTTGGGCTCAGACAGTGGCGTCACTTGGTTGGGTGTCACCGGGTACTGTAACTGAGAGTTGCAGCCTCCCTCCCACCGCACCCCCCTCTTCCATCCCTATCCGCCCATCAAACAATTTTTGCATTTACTTTTTTCTTATCACCCTGTTTTGCTTACTATGCTGTTATCTTAACTGAATTATACAGTTTTTAAAATTAAATTTTAAGTTGTTTCTTTGTAATGGTGTCACCCGTAAATGATGCCACCCGGTGCAGGCCGCACTCTCCACCCTTACTATGTGACGCCACTGTGCTCCGATACAAATCCAAATTTAGTTGCTGGTGGGAATTAGAAGATCGTGCTGCACAACTTGCCGCAATTTTTCTTTAAATAAACCTATTGCCGTCAGTGTTTCTTCCAGACTTTTTTCTCCGGAGGGGGGTGGGGGGGGGGCTGACACTGTTAAATGTATATATAAATAAAGTATATATAAATTATAAATTCCATTTCGTTCGGGGTGGGGGGGGGCGGTAGACTCGCTGTTGTGAAGATGTAGACACTACAGTGTACATTAGGTACTGGTTGCGGCTGTATCGTTGGGAGTTAGTGTCTGGTAACTATAGCTATAGAAGGACCACAGTCAGGAGATCTTGTGTATCAAAAATATGTATACAATAATAAAATAATAAAACAGTAAAGAGATGTACGTTACTTTTTAAATGTTTAAGTTTGTAACTAATTAAACTGACCGCGTATCATAAGTTAGGTAAAACATTCTAGAACCTCTATCCAGAGTTAAGGCAGGACATTAACATTTTTTGGGTCAGACAAGATTTTGTTTGTAAAGTCACGTGGGTTAGGTGTTAAGTTTGTGTTTGATTTCCTGACCAGGTCCGATGTGGCTTGATCATCCACACAACAGGTCAACAGGTCATTTACCCTGTAGGTCACAACATCGTTATAGAGGAGCTGGTGGGACCTAAGACGGGGGCACAACAGATTCTTACAGGGCATACGAAGTAAGTCAGGGGTGGGGGGGGGGATAGGGGTGTGGGTATAGGGGTGTGGGGGTATAGGGGTGTGGGGGTATAGAGGTGTGGGGGTATAGAGGTGTGGGGGTATATGGGTGTGGGGGTATAGGGGTGTGGGGGTATAGAGGTGTGGGGGTATATGGGTGTGGGGGTATAGGGGTGTGGGGGTATAGGGGTGTGGGGGTGTGGGGGTATAGGGGTGTGGGGTATAGGGGTGTGGGGGTATAGGGGTGTGGGGGTATAGGGGTGTGGGGGTATAGGGGTGTGGGGGTATAGGGGTGTGGGGTGTGGGGTATAGTGGTGTGGGGTATAGGGGTGTGGGGGTATAGGGGTGTGGGGATATAGGGGTGTGGGGTATAGGGGTGTGGGGATATAGGGGTGTGGGGATATAGGGGTGTGGGGATATAGGGGTGTGGGGGTATAGGGGTGTGGGGGTATAGGGGTGTGGGGTATAGGGGTGTGGAGGTATAGGGGTGTGGGGTATAGGTGTGTGGGGTATAGGTGTGTGGGGGTATAGGGGTGTGGGGGTATAGGGGTGTGGGGTATAGAGGTGTGGGGATATATGGGTGTGGGGATATATGGGTGTGGGGTATAGGGGTGTGGGTGTATAGGTGTATAGGGGTGTGGGGTATAGGGGTGTGGGGGATATACCAGTGGTGAGGATGTATTTCAGAGGTTTTTAGATATATTAAAGGTGTTGGGGTATGGCAGAGGTACAGGTGTATAGCAGGGGTGAGGCTATATCAGGGGTGGGTGTGGAGTTATACTAGGGGTGCGGCAGTATGTCTGGGGTGTGGGTATATATCAGGAATGTGGGGTATATCAGGGCTGTGGGGTATTAAGGCTGTGTAGGTGCTTTTGAAAGTGGGAAGAGCAAGTTTAGTGATGTATATCAGGGAAACGGTGGATTTTGAGTGTTAGGGTGTGGGTGTGTCTAGTGTGTGGGTTGGTTTGTCAGAGCTGTGAGGGTAAAGATGTGGGGGTAATCTAGTGTGTGGGTTGGTTGGTTAGACCTGTGAGGGTAAAGATGTGGGGGTAATCTAGTGTGTGGGTTGGTTGGTTAGAGCTGTGAGGGTAAAGATGTGGGGGTAATCTAGTGTGTGGGTTGGTTGGTTAGACCTGTGAGGGTAAAGATGTGGGGGTAATCTAGTGTGTGGGTTGGTTGGTTAGAGCTGTGAGGGTAAAGATGTGGGGGTAATCTAGTGTGTGGGTTGGTTGGTTAGAGCTGTGAGGGTAAAGATGTGAGGGTAATCTAGTGTGTGGGTTGGTTGGTCAGAGCTGTGAGGGTTAAGATGTGGGGGTAATCTAGTGTGTGGGTTGGTTGGTTAGAGCTGTGAGGGTAAAGATGTGAGGGTAATCTAGTGTGTGGGTTGGTTGGTTAGAGCTGTGAGGGTAAAGATGTGGGGGTAATCTAGTGTGTGGGTTGGTTGGTTAGAGCTGTGAGGGTAAAGATGTGGGGGTAATCTAGTGTGTGGGTTGGTTAGAGCTGTGAGGGTAAAGATGTGGAGGTAATCTAGTGTGTGGGTTGGTTGGTTAGAGCTGTGAGGGTAAAGATGTGGGGGTAATCTAGTGTGTGGGTTGGTTGGTTAGAGCTGTGAGGGTAAAGATGTGGGGGTAATCTAGTGTGTGGGTTGGTTGGTTAGAGCTGTGAGGGTAAAGATGTGGGGGTAATCTAGTGTGTGGGTTGGTTGGTTAGAGCTGTGAGGGTAAAGATGTGGGGGTAATCTAGTGTGTGGGTTGGTTGGTTAGAGCTGTGAGGGTAAAGATGTGAGGGTAATCTAGTGTGTGGGTTGGTTGGTTAGAGCTGTGAGGGTAAAGATGTGGGGGTAATCTAGTGTGTGGGTTGGTTGGTTAGAGCTGTGAGGGTACAGATGTGGGGGTAATCTAGTGTGTGGGTTGGTTGGTTAGAGCTGTGAGGGTAAAGATGTGGGGGTAATCTAGTGTGTGGGTTGGTTGGTTAGAGCTGTGAGGGTAAAGATGTGGGGGTAATCTAGTGTGTGGGTTGGTTGGTTAGAGCTGTGAGGGTAAAGATGTGGGGGTAATCTAGTGTGTGGGTTGGTTGGTTAGAGCTGTGAGGGTAAAGATGTGGGGGTAATCTAGTGTGTGGGTTGGTTGGTTAGAGCTGTGAGGGTAAAGATGTGGGGGTAATCTAGTGTGTGGGTTGGTTGGTTAGAGCTGTGAGGGTAAAGATGTGGGGGTAATCTAGTGTGTGGGTTGGTTGGTTAGAGCTGTGAGGGTAAAGATGTGGGGGTAATCTAGTGTGTGGGTTGGTTGGTTAGAGCTGTGAGGGTAAAGATGTGGGGGTAATCTAGTGTGTGGGTTGGTTGGTTAGAGCTGTGAGGGTAAAGATGTGGGGGTAATCTAGTGTGTGGGTTGGTTGGTTAGACCTGTGAGGGTAAAGATGTGGGGGTAATCTAGCATTTGCAAGTATGTCAGTAATGGGGGGTGGGGGTAAGGTAGAGATATAACGGTCGTGGAAAGGGATTAGGGATATATCATGTGGTTGGTTGTGATAGTACAACAGTTCTATTCGATATGTGTAGTGACGTTTTGACTTGGTTTTAAGCATGATCACTGCCCTGGCTCTGTCGCATGACGGTCAGTTTCTGGCCAGTGGTCAGTTGATCTCACACGAGAGTAAGGCACCCATCATCATGTGGGACTGGTGCAGCAAGCAGAAGCTGATGGAGTGGGCGTTACATAAGGTGAGTCACGTGATGATACAGACTGGGTCATGTGGCACTACTGACTGGGTCATGTGACACTACTGACTGGGTCATGTGACACTACGGACTGGGTCATGTGACACTACTGACTGGGTCATGTGACACTACGGACTGGGTCATGTGACACTACTGGGTCATGTGACACTACGGACTGGGTCATGTGACACTACTGACTGGGTCATGTGACACTACTGACTGGGTCATGTGACACTACTGACTGGGGTTATGTGACACTACTGACTGGGTCATGTGACACTACTGACTGGGTCATATGACACTACTGACTGGGTCATGTGACACTACTGACTGGGTCATGTGACACTACTGACTGGGGTTATGTGACACTACTGACTGGGTCATGTGACACTACTGACTGGGTCATGTGACACTACTGACTGGGTCATGTGACACTACTGACTGGATCATGTGACACTACTGACGGGGTCATGTGACACTACTGACTGGGTCATGTGACACTACTGACTGGGTCATGTGACACTACTGACTGGGTCATGTGACACTACTGACGGGGTCATGTGACACTACTGACTGGGTCATGTGACACTACTGACTGGGTCATGTGACACTACTGACTGGGTCATGTGACACTACTGACTGGGTCATGTGACACTACTGACTGGATCATGTGACACTACTGACTGGGTCATGTGACACTACTGACTGGGTCATGTGACACTACTGACTGGGTCATGTGACACTGGTCATGTGACACAACTGACAAGATGACACCCAACTTTGTCATGTGACAATACTAAAAACTGTCAAAACACTGAGAACAAGTTGAAACTTCAGGTTTTAGAAAACTTCAGAGTTGCCTTAAAATGTTGCATGACTAATGATTTCTTCCCCCCTCCCCCCCCCCCCCCCCCCCCGCCCCACCCAGACGAAAGTGGAAGCCTTGACCTTCACCTGCACCAACAAGCACCTGATCTCCCTGGGCGGGCAGGACGACGAGACGATCGCCGTGTGGAGCGTGCTGGAGCGGAAGCCGGTCTGCGGCAAGGTGGCCACGCTCAAACGCTCCGGCATCATGCACTGCGTCGCTGCCTCCAAGATCAACGAGTCGCTCTTTGCCTCGGGTCAGTGGTTAGGTTACATGTTGTGTGGGTGTAGTTTGGGATGTGTGTGGGTGTGTAGGGGGAGGGGTAGGGCTGCGTCGCTGCCTCTAAGATCAACGAGTCGCTCTTTGCTTCGGGTCAGTTGTTAGGGTACACGTTGTGTGGGTGTAGTTTGGGATGTGTGTGGGTGTGTAGGGGGAGGGGTAGGGCTGCGTCGCTGCCTCTAAGATCAACGAGTCGCTCTTTGCTTCGGGTCAGTTGTTAGGGTACACGTTGTGTGGGTGTAGTTTGGGATGTGTGTGGGTGTGTAGGGGGAGGGGTAGGGCTGCGTCGCTGCCTCTAAGATCAACGAGTCGCTCTTTGCTTCAGGTCAGTGGTTAGGTTACATGTTGTGTGGTGAAGCTAGGGGTAGGGCTGCGTCGCTGCCTCCAAGATCAACGAGTCGCTCTTTGCTTCAGGTCAGTGGTTAGGTTACATGTTGTGTGGTGAAGCTAGGGGTAGGGCTGCGTCGCTGCCTCCAAGATCAACGAGTCGCTCTTTGCTTCAGGTCAGTGGTTAGGTTACATGTTGTGTGGTGTAGCTAGGGGTAGGGCTGCGTCGCTGCCTCCAAGATCAACGAGTCGCTCTTTGCTTCAGGTCAGTGGTTAGGTTACATGTTGTGTGGTGTAGCTAGGGGTGGGGTGGGGGTGAGGTAAGAGGGCTGCGTGGCTGCCTTCAAGATCAACGAGTCACTCTTTGCTTCGAGTCAGTGGTTAGGTTACACATCATGTGGTGTAGCTAGGGGTGGGGGAGGGGGTAGGGCTGCGTGGCTGCCTCCAAGATCAACGAGTCGCTCTATGCCTCAGGTCAGTGGTTAGGTTACACATCATGTGGTGTAGCTAGGGGTGGGGGAGGGGGTAGAGCTGCGTGGCTGCCTTCAAGATCAACGAGTCACTCTTTGCTTCGAGTCAGTGGTTAGGTTACACGTTGTGTGGGTGTAGTTGTTGGGGGATGGGTAGAGCTGCGTGGCTGCCTCTAAGATCAACGGGTCGGTCTTTGCCTCTTCAGGTCAGTGGTTAGGTTTCACTTCTTCCTCAACCAGTGGCGTACCTTAAGGGGAGGAGGGGGTACTAGGCTTTTGTCTGATTGCTTTGGGATTTAACAGCGTCCGTGCAAAAGACTTGAAGGTTATGGCTTTCAGAAAATTAGCTTTCGATAAATTATCAGATGGGTGTGTGAGGTTGATATCTCTGGGTATGACTTCAAATCTAAATGAAACTTGTCGAAATTTATCTTTGTGGACGATTCAAATACAAATTAATAGTTTAGCAACTCAAGTTTTTAGGTTTAACAAACAAAGTTCTTGCTTAAATCAAGGTCGTGTTTAAAGAGCTATAATTTTAAGTCTTTGCTAAGCAAAGTTCGCTAGAATAGCTGTTGTGGTAAAGTTTAAATTATTTTCATTTGTAAATTGGTCGGTAAATTGTGTGTATAATAGAAGGATTTAAAACAGCAAACCGGCTTTTTGAGGTGTCCTCTGTATACAGCCCCATGTCTAAGTAAACAAATAATTGAACTGCTCGAGTGGAATGTGAAAGGTTGAAAGTGGACGGGAGTCACGTGATCTGATGTTCTTGTCCCCAGCCGGCGACAGCTACGGTAGGATCTGGACGTACAACATCAACGAGAGGACGCTGGATCACATCGAGTTCCGGTTTCACGCCCTCTCCAGGGTCATCATCTGTATGGAGGTCAGAGGTCATAGGGCTCTTACTCTTACTTCATCTGTCTATGTTTCAGTGTTTGCGATGTAGTTATTTTAAGTGGCGCATAAGTTATTTTAAAAGTTTTAAGTTATCCAGTTTTGTGTAATTTGAGTATATTTATAATTGTTTATGAAATCTGATGTAAAATCTTTAGATAATTGATTACGAGAGCTCAAAGTTTCCCATCATTGTGTGCGGGACAACATCCGGTGACATCATGGTGTTTCATGGAACTGGGGGAGCTCTTCAGTGTGTGGTGAGTTGGAAAGTCAGATCCTAACAGTTTGTCTTACCCAGGTCCCCACTAAACAACTTGTCTTACCCAGGTCCCCACTAAACAACTTGTCTTACCCAGGTCCCCACTAAACATCTTGTCCCCACTAAACAACTTGTCTTACCCAGGTCCCCACTAAACAACTTGTCTTACCCAGGTCCCCACTAAACAACTTGTCTTACCCAGGTACCCACTAAACAACTTGTCTTACCCAGGTCCCCACTAAACAACTTGTCTTACCCAGGTCCCCACTAAACAACTTGTCTTACCCAGGTACCCACTAAACAACTTGTCTTACCCAGGTCGCCACTAAACAGCTTGTCTTACCCAGGTCCCAACTAAACAACTTGTCCCCACTAAACAACTTGTCTTACCCAGGTCCCCACTAAACAACTTGTCTTACCAACGTCCCCACTAAACAAATTGTCTTACCCAGGTCCCCACTAAACAGCTTATCTTACCCAGGTCCCCACTAAACAACTTGTCCAAACTAAACAACTTGTCTTACCCAGGTTCCACTAAACAACTTGTCTTACCCAGGTCCCCACTAAACAACTTGTCCCCACTAAACAACTTGTCCCCACTAAACAAGTTGTCTTACCCAGGTCCCCACTAAACAACTTGTCTTACCCAGGTCCCCACTAGACAACTTGTCCCCACTAGACAACTTGTCCCCACTAAACAACTTGTCTTACCCAGGTCCCCACTAAACAACTTGTCTTACCCAGGTCCCCACTAGACAACTTGTCCCCACTAGACAACTTGTCTTACCCAGGTCCCCACTAAACAAGTTGTCTTACCCAGGTCCCCACTAAACAACTTGTCTTACCCAGGTCCCCACTAGACAACTTGTCCCCACTAGACAACTTGTCCCCACTAAACAACTTGTCTTACCCAGGTCCCCACTAAACAACTTGTCTTACCCAGGTCCCCACTAAACAAGTTGTCTTACTCAGGTCCCCACTAAACAACTTGTCACCACTAGAAAACTTGTCCCACTAAACAACTTGTCTTACCCAGGTCCCCACTAAACAACTTGTCTTACCCAGGTCCCCACTAAACAAGTTGTCCCCACTAAATAACTTGTCTTACCCAGGTCCCCACTAAACAAGTTGTCTTACCCAGGTCCGCACTAAACAACTTGTCTTAACCAGGTCCCCACTAAACAACTTGTCTTACCCAGGTCCCCACTAAACAACTTGTCTTACCCAGGTCCCCACTAAACAACTTGTCACCACTAGACAACTTGTCCCCACTAAACAACTTGTCCCCACTAAACAACTTGTCTTACCCAGGTCCCCACTAAACAACTTGTCTTACCCAGGTCCCCACTAAACAACTTGTCTTACCCAGGTCCCCACTAAACAACTTGTCTTACCCAGGTCCCCACTACACAACTTGTCTTACCCAGGTCCCCACTAAACAACTTGTCTTACCCAGGTCCCCACTAAACAAGTTGTCTTACCCAGGTCCCCACTAAACAACTTGTCCCCACTAAACAACTTGTCTTACCCAGGTCCCCACTAAACAGCTTGTCTTACCCAGGTCCCCACTAAACAAGTTGTCTTACCCAGGTCCCCACTAAACAACTTGTCTTACCCAGGTCCCCACTAAACAACTTGTCCCCACTAAACAAGTTGTCTTACCCAGGTCCCCACTAAACAACTTGTCTTACCCAGGTCCCCACTAAACAACTTGTCCCCACTAAACAAGTTGTCTTACCCAGGTCCCCACTAAACAACTTGTCTTACCCAGGTCCCCACTAAACAACTTGTCCCCACTAAACAACTTGTCTTACCCAGGTCCCCACTAAACAACTTGTCTAACCCAGGTCCCCACTAAACAACGTGTCTTACCCAGGTCCCCACTAAACAACTTGTCCCCACTGAACAACTTGTCTTACCCAGGTCCCCACTAAACAACTCGTCTTACCCAGGTCCCCACTAAACAACTTGTCTTACCCAGGTCCCCACTAAACAACTTGTTTCAGGTCCCTACTAAACAAGTTGTCTTACCCAGGTCCCCACAAGACAACTTGTCTTACCCAGGTCCCCACTAAACAACTTGTCTTAGCCAGGTCCCCACTAAACAACTTGTTTTACCCAGGTCCCCACTAAACAACTTGTCTCACACAGGCCCCCACTAGACAACTTGTCTTACCCACGTCCCCACTAAACAAGTTGTCTTACCCAGGTCCCCACTAGACAACTTGTCCCCACTAAACAACTTGTCTTACCCAGGTCCCCACTAAACAAGTTGTCTTACCCAGGTCCCCACTAAACAACTTGTCTTACCCAGGTCCCCACTAATCAAGTTGTCCCCACTAAATAACTTGTCTTACCCAGGTCCCCACTAAACAAGTTGTCTTACCCAGGTCCCCACTAAACAGCTTGTCTAACCCATGCCCCCACTAAACAACTTGTCTTAACCAGGTCCCCACTAAACAGCTTGTCTAACCCATGCCCCCACTAAACAACTTGTCTTAACCAGGTCCCCACTAAACAACTTGTCTTACCCAGGTCCCCACTAAACAACTTGTCTTACCCAGGTCCCCACTAAACAACTTGTCTCAGGTCCCTACTAAACAACTTGTCTCATGTCCCCACTAAACAACTTGTCTTACCCAGGTCCCCACTAAACAAGTTGTCCCCACTAAATAACTTGTCTTACCCAGGTCCCCACTAAACAAGTTGTCTTACCCAGGTCCGCACTAAACAACTTGTCTTAACCAGGTCCCCACTAAACAACTTGTCTTACCCAGGTCCCCACTAAACAACTTGTCTTACCCAGGTCCCCACTAAACAACTTGTCACCACTAGACAACTTGTCCCCACTAAACAACTTGTCCCCACTAAACAACTTGTCTTACCCAGGTCCCCACTAAACAACTTGTCTTACCCAGGTCCCCACTAAACAACTTGTCTTACCCAGGTCCCCACTAAACAACTTGTCTTACCCAGGTCCCCACTACACAACTTGTCTTACCCAGGTCCCCACTAAACAACTTGTCTTACCCAGGTCCCCACTAAACAAGTTGTCTTACCCAGGTCCCCACTAAACAACTTGTCCCCACTAAACAACTTGTCTTACCCAGGTCCCCACTAAACAGCTTGTCTTACCCAGGTCCCCACTAAACAAGTTGTCTTACCCAGGTCCCCACTAAACAACTTGTCTTACCCAGGTCCCCACTAAACAACTTGTCCCCACTAAACAAGTTGTCTTACCCAGGTCCCCACTAAACAACTTGTCTTACCCAGGTCCCCACTAAACAACTTGTCCCCACTAAACAAGTTGTCTTACCCAGGTCCCCACTAAACAACTTGTCTTACCCAGGTCCCCACTAAACAACTTGTCCCCACTAAACAACTTGTCTTACCCAGGTCCCCACTAAACAACTTGTCTAACCCAGGTCCCCACTAAACAACTTGTCCCCACTGAACAACTTGTCTTACCCAGGTCCCCACTAAACAACTCGTCTTACCCAGGTCCCCACTAAACAACTTGTCTTACCCAGGTCCCCACTAAACAACTTGTTTCAGGTCCCTACTAAACAAGTTGTCTTACCCAGGTCCCCACAAGACAACTTGTCTTACCCAGGTCCCCACTAAACAACTTGTCTTAGCCAGGTCCCCACTAAACAACTTGTTTTACCCAGGTCCCCACTAAACAACTTGTCTCACACAGGCCCCCACTAGACAACTTGTCTTACCCACGTCCCCACTAAACAAGTTGTCTTACCCAGGTCCCCACTAGACAACTTGTCCCCACTAAACAACTTGTCTTACCCAGGTCCCCACTAAACAAGTTGTCTTACCCAGGTCCCCACTAAACAACTTGTCTTACCCAGGTCCCCACTAATCAAGTTGTCCCCACTAAATAACTTGTCTTACCCAGGTCCCCACTAAACAAGTTGTCTTACCCAGGTCCCCACTAAACAGCTTGTCTAACCCATGCCCCCACTAAACAACTTGTCTTAACCAGGTCCCCACTAAACAGCTTGTCTAACCCATGCCCCCACTAAACAACTTGTCTTAACCAGGTCCCCACTAAACAACTTGTCTTACCCAGGTCCCCACTAAACAACTTGTCTTACCCAGGTCCCCACTAAACAACTTGTCTCAGGTCCCTACTAAACAACTTGTCTCATGTCCCCACTAAACAACTTGTCTTACCCAGGTCCCCACTAAACAAGTTGTCCCCACTAAATAACTTGTCTTACCCAGGTCCCCACTAAACAAGTTGTCTTACCCAGGTCCGCACTAAACAACTTGTCTTACCCAGGTTCCCACTAAACAACTTGTCTTACCCAGGTCCGCACTAAAAAACTTGTCTTACCCAGGTCCCCACTAAACAACTTGTCACCACTAAACAACTTGTCTTAACCAGGTCCCCACTAGACAACTTGTCCCCACTAAACAACTTGTCTTACCCAGGTCCCTACTAAACAAGTTGTCTTACCCAGGTCCGCACTAAAAAACTTGTCTTACCCAGGTCCCCACTAAACAAGTTGTCCCCACTAAACAACTTGTCTTACCCAGGTCCCCACTAAACAACTTGTCTCACCCAGGTCCCCACTAGACAACTTGTCCCCACTAAACAACTTGTCTTACCCAGGTCCCCACTAAACAAGTTGTCTTACCCAGGTCCCCACTAAACAACTTGTCTCACCCAGGTCCCCACTAGACAACTTGTCCCCACTAAACAACTTGTCTTACCCAGGTCCCCACTAAACAAGTTGTCTTACCCAGGTCCGCACTAAACAACTTGTCTTACCCAGGTCCCCACTAGACAACTTGTCCCCACTAAACAACTTGTCTTACCCAGGTCCCCACTAAACAAGTTGTCTTACCCAGGTCCCCACTAAACAACTTGTCTTACCCAGGTCCTCACTAATCAAGTTGTCCCCACTAAATAACTTGTCTTACCCAGGTCCCCACTAAACAAGTTGTCTTACCCAGGTCCCCACTAAACAACTTGTCTTACCCAGGTTCCCACTAAACAACTTGTCTCAGGTCCCTACTAAACAACTTGTCTCATGTCCCCACTAAACAACTTGTCTTACCCAGGTCCCCACTAAACAAGTTGTCCCCACTAAATAACTTGTCTTACCCAGGTCCCCACTAAACAAGTTGTCCCCACTAAATAACTTGTCTTACTCAGGTCCCCACTAAACAACTTGTCTCACCCAGGTCCCCACTAGACAACTTGTCCCCACTAAACAACTTGTCTTAACCAGGTCCCCACTAAACAAGTTGTCTTACCCAGGTCCCCACTAAACAACTTGTCTTACCCAGGTCCCCACTAATCAAGTTGTCCCCACTGAACAACTTGTCTTACCCAGGTCCCCACTAAACAACTTGTCTCACCCAGGTCCCCACTAGACAACTTGTCCCCACTAAACAACTTGTCTTACCCAGGTCCCCACTAAACAACTTGTCTCACCCAGGTCCCCACTAGACAACTTGTCCCCACTAAACAACTTGTCTTACCCAGGTCCCCACTAAACAACTTGTCTTACCCAGGTCCCCACTAAACAGCTTGTCTCACCCAGGCCCCCACTAAACAACGTGTCCCCACTAAACAACTTGTCTCACCTAGGTCCCCACTAAACAGCTGAGTTCTGGCATCACAAGCCTGAGCTACACACGTATGCTGGACGACAACGTCTTCTGTCTACTGGTGGGGACGGGGGAGTGTAAGATGGGCTACTACACACTGACCATGTCCTTCGTCAAGGGAAACTCGGTGAGTCCTAGACAGCTTGACATTCTGGGACAATCTCATAATGGCGCTCTGTATTGAGCTCAACCCATTTTTTAATGACAACTGACAATATTGTTCTGCAGAAAACCTTTGACCGTTGTGTTTAAAATTATTGTTGGAAATATTTGTTTTAAAACGTAAATGCATAATTATGTTTAAAAGTGTCTATTTATAAATGCCTAAGACCTTAAGTGTCTATGCTTACAGATGTCTATGTCTTAGTATCAATGTTTTCTAAAGTCTTTTCTTTTACTTGTGTCTATTTTTACATGTGTATTCGTATAAAAGTGTCTATGTTTACATTTGTATAAAGGGTCTATGTTGACTAATGCCTAAATTTATTAGTGTTTATGTGTGTGTCTTTTTTTTACAAATGTCTGTTTACAAGTGTCTATGTTTACAAGTGTCTATGTATCTGTGTCTAATGTCTAGGCGGCAGGGAAAATGTTTACAAGTGTCTATATATCTGTGTTCCATGTCTAGGCGGCAGGGAAAATGGTGCCGTATAAAGGCTTCAAGTGTCTATGTTTACAAGTGTCTATGTCTACAAGTGTCTATGTTTACAAGTGTCTCTGTATCTGTGTCCAATGTCTAGGCGGCAGGGAAAATGGTGCCGTACAAAGGCTTCAAGATGTGGTCCAGTGATAGAGACTCCTCGGCCATCACATCCATCTGTGAGTTTTCTGGTGGTGTTCGTAGTCTGGGACAGGGTGTTTGTAAACTGGGACAGGATTGTTCGTAGTCAGGGGTAGGGTATTCGTAGTTTAGGTCAGGGTGTTCGTAGCCTGGGTCTGGGTGTTTTAGTCTGGGGCAGAGTGTTCATTGTCCTGCAACATGTTCGTAGTCTGGGGCAGGGTGTTCGTTGTATGGGGCAGGGTGTTCGTTGTCAGTGGCAGGTTGTTCATTGTCTCCTGCAACATGTTCGTAGTCTGGGGCAGGGTGTTCGTAGTCTGGGGCAGGGTGTTCGTTGTCTGGGGCAGGGTGTTCATAGTAGGGGGTCAAGATGTTCGCAGTCTGAGAAAGTGTGTTCGTATTCTGGGGCAAGGTGCAGGTAGTCTGGGCCTAGGTGTTCGTAGTCTGGGGCAAGTAATTTATGAATCGCCATTTGGGCAATAATTTTATAGAGCACGCTTACCTGTAGCAGCTATGAAACTCTGACTAACACTATCTGTCGTCTTGCAGCGAAGGTCGGGGTAGGGCACCAGTTCTACATCGGCACCAAGAACTGCCAGAACTGACTAGCACTGTTTGTGTTTCAGCAAAGGTGGGGGTGGGGCACCAGTTCTACATCGGCACCAAGAACTGCCAGATCTACAGGTTCAGCCTGGCCAAGTGGACGGCAGAGCTGGTCCGTACCAGCAGTAACAGGCCTGTCAATTCCATCACGTTCCCGCGGGCAACAGACGAGCTGATGGTGGTGGGGGAGTTTGAGAACGTGAGTACATCGGCACGTGCTGCATCGTGGTCGTGCTCACGTTTAGACAGATTGGTGTAGTGGACATGTTCACATTTAGACAGATTGGTGTAGTGGACATTCTCATATTTAGACAGATTGGTGTAGTGGACATTCTCATATTTAGACAGATTGGTGTAGTGGACATTCTCATATTTAGACAGATTGGTGTAGTGGACATTCTCACAATTAGACAGATTGGTGTAGTGGACATTCTCATATCTAGACAGATTGGTGTAGTGGACATTCTCATATTTAGACAGATTGGTGTAGTGGACATTCTCATATTTAGACAGATTGGTGTAGTGGACATTCTCATATTTAGACAGATTGGTGTAGTGGACATTCTCATATTTAGACAGATTGGTGTAGTGGACATTCTCATATTTAGACAGATTGGTGTAGTGGACATTCTCATATTTAGACAGATTGGTGTAGTGGACATTCTCATATTTAGACAGATTGGTGTAGTGGACATTCTTAAATCACTTATATCAGACAGATTGTTGCCTAAATTAGCTGCTGACATAGATCTTTATAAATGTTATGATTAAAGATGTATATTACACGTGATTAGTTAACCGTATTTGCGATGTTAAGGTATTAATGATCAGTTTGAAATTGACATTATCGTCATTAAATAGCTCAACTAATGGGTGACTAGTACTATGAACATAAGGGGTTGGAGGGGGGTGGGTGTCGTTTAAAAATGACGGCAGTGGCAAGGTAGAAGGTCGGTTTATACTTAGGCAACTATGCCGTACTTTGAGAAATTGTAGAAAAAATTGATGAAGCATTTATGATGTTGTCTTTCCCAAAGTAAAGTTATAAAAGGCAATTATTTTTTTATTATGGTTGTTTGTAAAGATGCGGTGGAACTATCTGGTGTAATTCTAGAGCATGGGAGTAGGGGGTGGTTCTGGCGTTTTATTATAACGTGTGACAGATCTGTAGTAAAAATTATCGTCTGAAACTACATGACGGTGTTTATAAACTTCCACCTACTCCCTCCTCCCCCCCCCCTTCCTCGCAAAGTGAAATGACAAACGCTAATACTTTTTCGAAAACAATTTCCACATCATCAAAAAAAAATAAAAAAATTAAGAAACTCACACTACTGTAAAGAAGCTCAAATTAGATAGGAATTAGAGTCTGGAGTTTAAGAAATCAGACAGAGATTGTTTTCACCTGTCCACACAGGTGCGCGTGTTTAACCTGAAGATCATGCTCGAGGTACGCAGGTACTTCCGGGCCAACCGGAACTGTCACGTGGTCGCCCTCAGCCACGACGGTACCAACATCTTCACGGGCTGGGACAACGGCGAGACCATCATCCTGGGGTTCGAACCCACGGGCCTGGGACTGAGGGAGGTGTACCGTATCGATTCTTCACAAAAACAGGTATGGAGATGGTATCGATTTCCTTAAAGAGGTTACCATATCGATTCTTTACTAAGAAATAGGTTAGTATGAAAAGCGCATGAAGGGGTCGGCGTGGTCGAGTCGGTAAAGCTCATGGTTGCTAAACTGAAAAGTCTCGAGAACAACTGCTGCCTTGTAGTTTGTTCTTGGTTGGACAAAGGCTATGGAAGCAAATCCAAAAAGAAAAGCAGTCTGAAATCGGAGTCAATGGCCTCAATGGCGCATAACCAGTTGACACGTGTACTTAATTGTGTTGAAAGGGATCCCTTCCAACACAAAAATTAAGGATGAAGAAGATGGAAAAAGCGTATTTTTTTTTCAAATCTGGTATCATCCGAATTACCCTGTCCAAATCCAAATTCTACCTAAACATTAACCTAAAAACTAAACCTCACCCTAACACTTGTTCTACTGACAAAATAATCAGAGCAGAACTGACTAGACTTCTTTGAACCGTTTTCCAGATCGTTACTTTATCTTAGTTGAGTGGTGTAGGCATGAATTAGTCGTAAAATCCACCCCACATCCCCCAACCTTACCCCACTGTCCCAGATCAAAACGTCTACCTGGTCTAGAAGATCATACCGGCGTCTTGTAACAGAAGATGTCCCCAGTTTTTCCTTCAGATTTTATTATCCGAGGGTGGGGGAGGCAGTGTTTCTTCCAGACCTTTTTCTCCGGGGGGCACTTGAAATTTTCGGGGGGGCGGTCAACTTTCTTCGGGGGGGGGGGGGGGGGGGCGGACACCTGTTAAAAGTATATATTTTCTATATAAATTATATAAATTTCATTTCGTTCGTGGGGGCGGTAGAAGAAACTCTGTTGGTGATGGGCGTGCAGGAGTCTGGGTAAGGTTTGCTGTAATGAAGAGATGCCTGAAAGAAACTCTGGGGGGAGGGGTGCACTTGAAACTTTTGCGAGGGCGGCGGACTAAATTTGACCGCCCCCCGAAGAAACACTGGCAATCCCTATGACTGAGTACGTGTGTAACATATTTCCTTTTCTCAGTATCCACAAAAACAGCACACCAATGCTTGAAATCATCGAAAAAGTAAAAAAAAAAAAAATAGCCTCAATTGTAAAGTACCTTTTTCTTTTCTCTTCAGGCTGTGACGGCTCTGTCCTTGACCTCGACCTCTGACCTACTTGTCACCGGCGGTAACGACGCCCAGTGCCGCGTCTGGCGTCTGGTGACTGACCTTGACAGCAGATGTAAGAAGCTGCACCAAGGCCTTCTGCTGTACACGATGCTGGACCAATCAGGACCGATCACATCCATCAGGGTAACGCTCGATTCATTTTTCCTACCACAGTAAGGGAGGCTACTTTGATCTGCTTGCTAAAAATAGCTTGACCTGGTGGAGAATTTAGAGGGCGAAGCTAGCGGCACATCCATTCATGAAACAATTGTCTAATAGAAACCATTGCTCGGTGTAATGAAATATCTAAGTTAGAAAAATGCATTCAAAAATTTTTTAGCAGACGCGGTTGTCCAGAGCTTGGGTCTTCATGTAAAAAAATGGCAAACAATTAATTTACATCTCTTGTAGGGCAGAGACAGAATTTTCCCTTTGGTTTCACCTTCTCAACGAATTTATTATCAAGTTATCTCGATAAAATATTGTTTTGCCGGTAAAATTTACGATTAGGTGTCACCCGTAAATGTTGTCACTTAGTGCGACCTCCTTGAGACGTCATCAGAGTTTCTTTCAAGCATCTCTTCGGGGATGGGTGGTGGGAATTTATATAGAAAATATATCTCTTTAGTAGTGTCCGCCACCCCCCCCCCCCTCCCGGAAATTTTAGTCCGCCCCCCCCCCCCTTACGAAAATTGTAATTGCCCCCCCCCCCCACCCCGGATAAAACATTCTGAAAGAAACACTGGACGCCATTGCCCTAGTGTATCAATTCCTTGTAGATTTAAGTTTTTTTTAATCACTTCCGGTTACAGGTTGGTACTTCCGGTAAAATGCTATTGTCAATTTGTATAGAAAAAAATATCTACTTTGGCCCAGAATGTGGAAATGCCAATGCCCCCCCCCCCCCCCCCCAGATATAATGTCTAATGTCTGGAAGAAGAACTGGCTTGACTACCTGCAGAGTTTCTTCCAGGCTTTTAACAGTGTCTCCCCCCCCCCCCCCGAAGAAAGTTTACCGCCCCCCCCCCCCCGAAAATTTCAAGTGCCCCCCCCCCCCCCCCCGGAGAAAAAAGTCTGGAAGAAACACTGACTACACTGCCCCCCACCCCACCCCCAGGTGTCAGACGACGACAAGATGTTCATCTCTACCAGTGTGGACGGGACGGCGGCCATCTACAACCTGACCAAGGGCCTGAGACAGCTGTTGGTCAAGGTCAACAACAGCCTGACCGGTGCTGACTTTCTGACGGACAACTGCCAGTTCATCGTCAGCGGTGCCAGCGGAAAGATCTTCATCTATGAGGTGAGTCAGTGGCAAGATCTTCATCTATGAGGTGAGTCAGTGGCAAGATCTTCATCTATGTGGTGAGTCAGTGGCAAGATCTTCATCTATGAGGTGAGTCAGTGGCAAGATCTTCATCTATGAAGTGAGTCAGTGGCAAGATCTTCATCTATGAGGTCAGTCAGTGGCAAGATCTTCATCTATGAGGTTAGTCAGTGGCAAGATCTTCATCTATGAGGTGAGTCAGTGGCAAGATCTTCATCTATGAGGTGAGTTAGTGGCAAGATCTTCTTCTATGAGGTGAGTCAGTGGCAAGATCTTCATCTATGAGGTGAGTCGGTGGAAAGATCTTCATCTATGAGGTGAGTCAGTGGCAAGATCTTCATCTATGAGGTGAGTCAGTGGCAAGATCTTCATCTATGAGGTGAGTCAGTGGCAAGATCTTCATCTATGAGGTGAGTCAGTGGCAAGATCTTCATCTATGAGGTGAGTCAGTCAGCGACTAACCACCTGTAACTAACCACCTATGACTAACTGACACTAACCACTTGTGGCTTACCACCTGTGACGAACCACGTGTTACTAAAAACTTGTGACTAATCGTGTGTGACTAACCACTTGTTACTAACCATATGAGACTAACCACGTGTAACTAACCACCTGTAACTAACCACCTGTAACTAACCACCTCTAACTAACCCTATGTGACTAACCACTTGTGACTAACTACCTGTGACTAACCACCTATGAATAACCACGTATGACTAACCACATGTAACTAACCACCTGTGACTAACCACGTATAACTAACCACCTGTGACTAACCACCTGTAACTAACCACGTATAACTAACCACCTGTGACTAACCACCTGTAACTAACCACGTATAACTAACCACCTGTGACTAACCACCTGTAACTAACCACGTATAACTAACCACCTGTGACTAACCACCTGTAACTAACCACGTATAACTAACCACCTGTAACTAACCACCTGTAACTAACCACGTGTAACTAACCACCTGTAACTAACCACGTGTAACTAACCACCTGTAACTAACCACGTATAACTAACCACCTGTAACTAACCACCTGTAACTAACCACGTGTAACTAACCACCTAACTAACCACTTGTAACTAACCACCTGTAACTAACCACGTATGACTAAAACCCCGTGTTGTGACCAAGCCCCCCTCTACCCCACAGGCGAGTGACGGTGAGTGTCTGATTGAGCTGGAGGGCGTCAAGCGAGGGTCTGTCAGCTCTATCGAGGTGGAGAAGAAGTGCAAGAAGGTCTTCGTCACAGGCGGGGAGGACTGTCTCATCAAGGTGAGGGGCAGACCACACCTCATCAAGGTGAGGGGCAGACCACACTAGGGGGGGGGGGGATAAGACTTTAAACTTACTGGAGTTTGGTGGGGGGGGGGGGGAGGGGATTTGAGTTTTACGTGATTTTAAAATGATGCAGGGGAGAGAGATCCGAGATTTTTTAATACATTTAATGGAGATGGGGAGATAATCGAGATTTTAAATACATGTATTGGAGTAGGGGAGAGAATCGAGATATTGGCATATTGGACATAATCGAAAATTTAAATACTGCTAAATATGGGAGATAATAGATTTTTTTAAGTACTAGTTCAGGGACAGTATGGAGGTTTTTAGAACCAGTCTGGGGGGGGGGGGGGGGGGGGGGGTTAAAGGTTTTAAGATACTGATGTAGTGAAGATTATCTTAGTTATGGAATATTTGTATAAGGGAGAGAACCGGTGTTTTAAAACGTTGGTGTAGGTTGTTGTAACATTTCGACTCATTTTTTGACATAAAAAAAGCGGACACTGCAAGAAATAAAACTGTAATTCTTATAAAATATATTCAGGGACATAATCTAAATTCTATTTTATTGAATATATCTGCTGGAGTTTAATGGTAGTTTTACCTTCATAACTAACAGTATCCAACACTAACTATTTAAGGGTATGGAAATTGTTACAAATATTACAATTATTCAGTCGATCAAAAAAATTGATTATTTCCCTTTGTGCTCCTACCAGTTCTGGAACATCGAGGCAGGGGTGGTAACTCACGTTGGCTTTGGTCACAGCGACAAGATCACGTGTGTCAGATTTGGCTCCTGCTCCTCTCTGCTGGTGACCGGAAGTCACGATGGCTCCATCTGTATCTGGGACATCCCTACCTTAACTTAGCTGACGACATGACGTCACGAACCGACGATCAGCAGATGCATCATTTCATCGTCTGCCAACGTTTATTTTCTTAGGAATTTCATTTGTTTTCATGTTTTATACTACACCAGAATGAGTTTTGCTCAGATAAAAATTGCAGGACTATTATTACTCTTATACTTCATGATTACGCACATATCATAACGTCCCCAATATATTTTTGAATGACTCTTAATTGTTTAAGATATATCATTTCTACCAAATATAAATTAATATTTAAACACCTTTTATTATAAGACATTTTTCATTTTACTATTTTTCTACTCTTTAGTTCTATTTATAATAAACTTAAGCCCTGATTGGTTAAAAAAAACCACAACTATAAGTGTTAATCTATTGTGTGTTCAATTTTTTATATCTCGCCAGCAATGTGTAAAAACTGCATTCTATAGAATACCTAGGCAATCTATATAACGCCCAAAATGGGTTATGAAAGTATAAATTAAATAATACTTCTATCATATTTCATACATTTTCTTGTCGTTCTATAGAATACGAAATAACAAAATACGCTTTCTTGCCAGAATATTCCCCAATCAATATTGGGGTTGGTGTTAAGGTTATAAAGAGATTGAAGTGTAATTCAAAATCCCAGTCTAGCCTTACCCTGCAATAAATAGTTATAACACTTCTGATTGGTTTATTCTCCCAGTATTTTTTCTTTCATTTTTTTTATTTTGTTACTATAGCCTTTTACAATCTGGGCAGTTTTCCTGATAACGCCTTGGCATTTGATGTAATGCCTAAGAAAAGAATATAACATACCTTTTCATACTTAACATTTCATACCTTGTCTGAAACGACATAGATTGAATAATATACATTGCCTAGGTATTCTATAGAATGCCGGGATTTCAAACATTGTGGTAACATCTATACTATTCATGAAACTAGAACAACAGTGGTGCATTGTGGGTTGGGGGAAGGTCAAAAGGTGATGGTTAAATGGGGCAGGAGCCATGATGGCAACTTGCAAACAAACAAGTCACACAAATCATTTATCTCTCTTTATATCTAACATAGACAGCAGTTATATCTCATACACCTACATATAAGATGCTACCAAAAAAAAATAAAAAAAATTTTTAGTACATGTAAAGTTTAATCGCAGCATAGAGAACAGCCTGTTGATAGTTACAATTACAGAAAGTATCAACAACTATTAGCTTTTATTACTGTAAGTATGAAATGTTATGACGAACAAATGACTTGTGACTCCCCCCCCCTCCCAATATTAACACAAACAACTATTTTTTTAGCTTTCCTATCTTAGAAGCAGGTGTGACAAACTTCTCAGAGATGGGGACAATGGTAGCTTTTACTGTCACTGTCTCTAGACCATTGATCTGGGGAAAATAAAACACAGTTTAGACAAACTTTTCAAGGGAGAATGGTAGCTTTTACTGTCTCTAGACCATTAATCTGGGGAAAAATAAAATACATTTATTTAGTTTAGATGGCTCAGCGTTGTTAAAGAGGTGGATTATTTGATCTTCTTATTCGTTGTTAATTTTAGGTGTTGGAAGGGATTGAGCCTTATCTGCCAGAGGGTTTGAACTATTTTTTTCGAATTTATCAACCATGAGCTTTTGCCTACTCGACCACGCCTCCAACACAATTAAGGATAAGTGTCAACTGGTTATGTGCCATTGAGGCCATTGACTCCGATTTCAGCCCTTTTCTTTTTGGATTTGCTTCCATAGCCTTTGTCCAACCAAGAACAAACTACAAGACAGCAGTTGTTTGATTTTGGAGTTGTCTCTCCTAGAAGAGTGGTTGTCCCCAGCTAACGAGCCTCATCTGCCCGAAGGTTCGAACTCGAGACTTTTGGTTTAGCAACCATGAGCTTTTAGCGACTCGACCACGCCAACCCCTGATTATTTGATCTATCTGGCAGGTTTTGATGGTGAGAGCCGTTGAAAAATTGAAGTCTTTGTGTGTCTAAAATAGAGGACTGGGACTTTTTTTTTTTTATTTTCTTATTAAAAGTCAAAGAAATTAACTTTTGAGAGTGAAAGTTAAATAAATTATTTTTGCTTTATAAAGAAAACTAAATAAATGCATCAATAAATATACTATTAGAAATAGTTCAAATCTGGATAGTGCCTACCAGGTACATTTGGCTTAATAAGAAAAAAAAAACAGGTGCTAAAAAACTCTAATGTGGTGGTGGGTCGAAAAATTAGACTAGTATTATTACATTACAATTATTTCAGTCTACCAACAACAAAAAGACGCAAATGAGAAAACATTAAACTTTTTAAAATGTGTGCCTGTTTTACTGAAGCCAGTCTACACACTAAATGAGGACATCATCATCTACAATATACACATGATTTAACTAAACAAAAAGCCAGTAACAAGAAGAGTTAGCAATGGGAACCAATCAAAATGGTTGTAACATACCGTGACCTTGACAGTCAAGTCTTGAAAAGTTGTAATCTCCTCCTCTGGCAGTTGGATACATTGTTCCAGCATCTCCACACCCTGACGACACAACAATGTTTACAATCATTTTTTGGAGATTTACTCAAAGCTTGGTTAAAAATATAGTAAAATGTAATAACTTTATTAAAGAACGGTATTAACAGTAGGAACAGAGGCGTTTTTTCACATTGGCAGTTTTTGAAAAAAAAAAAAATATAATAACATTTTAATTTAAAAGACATTAAGTAGTAAAGACATAGCAGTAACAGCATTTAAAATTTGGAATAAATAAAATAATATTTTATAGTTATAAAACACAATAGGATAGAAATTGGGAATATAATAGATGAATGAGAAATGTTGCAATGTGTCTGTTAAGAAAGTAATTAAATAGAATTTTTTTAGTTTAGAATATATTTTCAGATATATCTACATAGTTAGTTTTACTTTATTATGAAGATATGTTCCACAAATTAGAACCAGAGTAGGTGAAGCTATGTTTTTCGAAAAAAGTTGATTAGAAATCTGATTTTTGTCTTGTAAATTTACATGTGTGACAAATTACCCAGCGTCCTATAAATTAACCTGTGCCCTACAATTTAGCCTGTGCCCTACAAACTTAGCCTGTGCCCTTAAAAATGTACCTGTGTGACAAATAAACTGGTGTCTTTCAAATAGATGTTGTATAAACTTCCCTGCTAGAATGGAACCCATAGAGAAAAAGAAAAGTGGTCTCTTACATGGTTGCTGTTCAATAGAGCTGCACAGGATAGAGTTCAGTGAATAAGTAAAACTGTAGAGTTGCCCAGGATAGATAGAGTTCAGTGAATAAGCAAAACTTTAGAATGCCCAGGATAGAGTTCAGTGAATAAGTGAAACTTTAGAATGCCCAGGATAGAGTGCAGTGAATAAGTGAAACTGTAGAGTTGCCCAGGATAGAGTGCAGTGAATAAGCAAAACTTTAGAATGCCCAGGATAGAGTGCAGTGAATAAGCAAAACTTTAGAATGCCCAGGATAGAGTGCAGTGAATAAGCAAAACTTTAGAATGCCCAGGATAGAGTGCAGTGAATAAGTAAACTTTAGAATGCCCAGGATAGAGTGCAGTGAATAAGTAAAACAATAGAGTTGCCCAGGATAGAGTTCAGTGAATAAGTAAACTTTAGAATGCCCAGGATAGAGTGCAGTGAATAAGTAAAACAATAGAGTTGCCCAGGATAGAGTTCAGTGAATAAGTGAAACTGTAGAGTTGCCCAGGATAGAGTTCAGTGAATAAGTAAACTTTAGAATGCCCAGGATAGAGTTCAGTGAATAAGCAAAACTTTAGAATGCCCAGGATAGAGTGCAGTGAATAAGTAAAACTGTAGAGTTGCCCAGGATAGAGTTCAGTGAATAAGTAAAACTTTAGAATGCCCAGGATAGAGTGCAGTGAATAAGTAAAACTTTAGAATGCCCAGGATAGAGTTCAGTGAATAAGTGAAACTGTAGAGCTGCCCAGGATAGAGTTCAGTGAATAAGTGAAACTGTAGAGCTGCCCAGGATAGAGTTCAGTGAATAAGCTAAACTGCAGCCCTTTGTTTCTAAAGGGCTCCACAAGAACAAACAAAGAAAACAAAAACTGACCTGAGTCCTGAATGCTACTTGCACATGTTCTTTAGTGAGTACCCACTCCACATTTTCATTCATTGGGATTTGTAGGTTCATGTGGTTCAATTCTTTCATGGTCTATGGAAGCAAACACAAATTTTACAGCTACACTTGGATCTAGAAACAATATTTGTCAGCAAAAACAGCATCTACGACATTCTAACAATATGATTTTTGTATGAATGTCCTAGAGCAGGGGTCGGCAACCTGCGGCTCGCGAGCCGCATGCGGCTCTTTTGATATCAAGATGCAGCTTTCCAGCTCCTTGAACAAATACTAACAATCTTAATAAAAAAATAAAATATCTGAAATAAAAAAAATGTTAGTGGCTCTTTAAAACCAGGGAAATTTTGAAAATTGTAACTTTTGGCTCTTCCGCTTCAAAAGGTTGCCGACCCGTCCTAGAGTAAATAATTCTCAGCATTTGGCCATTTCAAGATCTATGACATTTAAACATTGTGAATGTTCTAGAACTAATATTTCTTAGGATTTGGCTTTGTCAGCATTCATGACATTACAACAATATGACTAAAAAATTTTATAAAGAAGGAAGGAAAAGTATTAATAGTTAGAAAATTGTTCAACCCTTTTTATTTCATTCTGAGCAAAATAAAAGGTGATCAAACATCATTTATCTATTGCTGCTATTTATTCACTTTATATCAATTTATACTAGAGGCTTTATACACATTATATCAATTTATACTAGAGGCTTTATACACATATCAATTTATACTAGAGGCTTATACAAATTATATCAATTTATACTTGAGACTTTATACACATTATATCAATTTATACTAGAGGCTTTATACAAATTATAATATTTATACTAGATGCTTTATACAAATTATATCAATTTATACTAGAGGCTGATCATAAAATGTGAACAGCCTGGCTTACCATCCTTGCAAGCACGCCCAATCTGGTCTCTGCCTTTTCAATACCCAGAGCCTGTGAGAGAGTAGGAAAGAAATGATGTCAACAACAGTTAGCTAATGGGGAAACTCACCTTCTACACAGTCAACTCACATCCTACTCAACCAGAGGCGTAGCGACCCTTTCCGGCGCCTGGTGACAAACTTTCAATTTGCCCCCCCCCCCCCCCATATATTTTTTATATTTATAATGCAAAACTGCAGCTAAAATGAGCTTTTAATTTTTTTTTTTCAACCCATTTCAGCTCCCCCTTAGAGTTGGCGCCAGGTACAAATGTACGCCCTTGCTACTTCTGTAGCCAACTGCTCACATAGGCACAGGGTTCTGACATGAGTTATCAAATAAATCATAACCCTATACGGTGACTGTATACAAGCCTGACTGAGACATCACCCTTTTAAATGAAAAATACACCCCACCCTTCTGCCCTATGTGAGACCCACCATTTTTAACTTCTCCTTCCCCCTCCCATACCTCCCTAAATTTGCCTTTCACCACTACTAGACCCAACCTCACCCCCGCCCCCTCCTCTCCCTGAGACCTCCCATCTTTACCTTCCTCTCCTCCTCAAACTCCTTCAAGTTCTGCGGAGAAGCATAGACAGCCAGTCCAGCAGGGAACAGCTGATCATGGAACATGTTCCTCTTCACCTTGACAACATCCCCTCTAATGCCTAGACCTAAAGAGTACAGTAAAACTTCTAATGTCTAGACCTAAAGATTGCAGAGTACAGTAAAACCACTAATTCGCAGACCTAAATTATTCAAACACTAAACAGTACAGTAAAACTTCTAATGTCTAAACCTAAAGATTGCAGAGTACAGTAAAACCACTAATTCGCAGACCTAAACTATTCAAACACTAAAACAGTACAGTAAAACCTCTAATGCCTAGACCTAAAGATTGCAGAGTACAGTCAAACCACTAACTCGCAGACCTAAAGTATTCAAACACTAAAACAGTACAGTATTAACCTCTAATGCCTAGACCTAAAGTGTACAGTAAAACCACTAATTCGCAGACCTAAACTATTCAAACACTAAAACAGTACAGTAAAACTTCTAATGCCTAGACCTAAAGATTGCAGAGTACAGTAAAACCACTCATTCGCAGACCTAAACTATTCAAACACTAAAACAGTACAGTAAAACCTCTAATGCCTAGACCTAAAGATTGCAGAGTACAGTAAAACCACTAATTCGCAGACCTAAACTATTCAAACACTAAAACAGTACAGTAAAACTTCTAATGTCTAGACCTAAAATATTAAACCTTAATACAGCACAGTAAAATATCTTGACATTATTCAAACATTAATACACAAAAGTAAAACCACTAATTCCCAGACCTAAAATATTTAAACCGAGTACAGTAAAAGTAGAGTATGGATTGAAAACAAAAAAAAGCTGAAGCAACTATTTAAATAAAAATGAATGTATGTTCAATTAATTGTTTCAAAAAGCCTTAAAACTCATGCTAATAATGTTTCAAATGTATAGAGCTATGTATGGCTATAATGCAAGAATAAATAAACTTTTTAAAACTTCTGAAAATCTTTCTGAAGACACTTTAAACATTTGTGACACAATAATTCTGGGGTATGTTTATAGAAGTGCAGATATTTTCATTTGGGCATCATTAACAGACCTTCAGCCTCAAGTCAGTAATGACTATTTAAACAACTTTTTGAGAATCATTTCTTCAATATTCTGTTTAGCTATGTATATAATGTAAACATATTACACACCTTATTAAACATGTGTTTCAATATGCATTAATCACTAATATGCTTTAGTAGTTGTATATTAGCCTTTGCAGTTAATTACAACCCCATTTTGTACAACAGAAAACATTTTTTTTAGCTAGGTAATAAGTGACACTATCAGAACCAAAATGAAGAAGAAAACGTGCATCGCACTGTTTCAGTCAAACTTTGAGCAATGTGCTAGATACATTCTTTGAATAAAGCCACAACAGCTGATGGAAATTTAAACCAATGATAAACCAAGACAACAAAACTAAGTTTTACTGAACAAACGATGTTGAAGCCTTAAAGAAAACTGTGAAGAAAAGGTGTTACTTGTTTAAAATTAGTTACATGCAGCTTAACAACACAAATGTTAATAAATCGGGAGTGATCTCCCCTAAACTTTCTCGAATATTCATATAACACTACAGCAGATGGCAACTCAGGATATAGACAATATTTTTAATCCATTTTAGTTACTTAAACTTTTTTTAATAGAATAGAATCTTGTAGAAAAAGAATTGCATACAGAGTGTATGCCAAATACAATGTGTATAATTGTGTGGAATATTATTAGTACTTTATAAATTCACAAGCGTTTTTTAGAAATCTGAAATAGCCTAAATTACTACAACAGAAGTCACTCAAAATTTGATATAAGGCAGAGAATTAGATCTTTTAATTATTTTTGAAATTTCATTTATCTATCTGATATAGTACTCAAGCTAAATGCTTTTGAAAAATTGAAAGTAGAAAAAGTTCCACTTCCGGTTATCGGAAACCGCTGAAAAGTTGATACGGATCTACAAATTTGATATAATACTTATATATGAAATTTCATCAACCTAGCTGTAATGGTAGTCAAGTTATCGTGTTTACAGACACACACAGTAGAAGATTGCAAAACTATGTTTTTCAGACTCAAGAAGGTGTAAAAAGTCGAGATTTGCAAAAATCTTGATTTTTTTTTTTTGCACGATGACAATACTTTCTGTATACTTTGTATACAAGAAAGTAAAAATGAGGAATAAATTAAATTATCTGTAAAGATTTCTTTTAATTTAGTAATAACTCTGTAGGTGTCGATTCAAGCTATTCTTACCTTCCACAAAGTCAGTGAGAATGCAGGACATCTGACTGGGGTAGTACACTGTCTTCACATGACGAAGTATTTTATAAAGTTCATTCATATCCCGAACATTTGGTAGGCCACCATCTTTACCAGGTGGGATGGGTATGACACGCTCCATTACGATGGTGTGGTTCTGTCAGGTGAAATTATTTGTACCATTACGCACACAATAATGTAAACGTTAGAAAGGTAACTTTATGCTGACAATTAATTTCAATCAAAACAACACGCAATAAAGCTAAAGAAATTCAAAACATTTCATTTTCAACTCTAGACTGTGGTGAATACCTTTACCCCAAGGTGATTAAAAAAGAAACTCTATTTCACCTGCCCCATGTGTTTTTTAGCACAACCAGGAAAAGTTGCCAGTTTAAAAAATTCTCATCCTAACTTAAAACTAAAAGTAATTACCCTTGTCTGTTGCCTGGTTACGCATGCAGCTAAACAAAGACTGGGCTGCAGTCTGGGACAAACTCTGGCAGCATTACTCAGTACCTTCACTGGTAGGGCCATCCTCACTGACAACAAGCTGAAGATTGAAAAATCATTTTTTTTAAATATATATTAGGTCTATATATAAATAGCTAATTTAACCATTAATAAATAAATCCAAGCAGAAATTGCCTAACTAATAGTGACTTAATTTTCATTAACTACTAGGCTTTAAACTGTGCAAGCTGACTGTAAATTTAAGAATATTTCACAATGAGTGTATATTATGTATGTCTTTGTTCATTTACATTTTACATTGGAATATATTTTAAATGTGCATAAATTTAAAAACCCTCAGATTTTTTCATGATAAAAAAGCAACTGTTGAAAACACATTTAGCCAACAAGTCTGTGGAGAAATCAGACAACTCTACAAATATAACTGTCTGTAACTTAATTATACCAGTGCTTGCTAAATGGTCATTCCGACATATTTTTACAATTTATGGCAATATTTCTTAAAATAAAATCTCTTACAGGAAATATATAATAAAATGAAAACATTCTTTAATACGAAATGACTAGACTTGACAAAATTATTATTTTTTAGATGCATCATTACTATTCTCAGCAAAAAAACAAAATGGTGCTTTCTAATTAAAAGAAGATTAAATCAAATATCTATCAGCCTATGGTTTAAAAGTGTAGATGGTAAATGTTTGCTGCTAATGAAGAACAACTAATATAACTTGTCCTTTTTGATTTTGTATTTCATAAATAGAAAGAATTAATTTTGTTGATACTTTCACTCATTAATATGGCTTTAATACAAGTACAGAGTGATATATTTGTTTCAAATAGGCCTATGTTTGATAGGCCTAATTGAATAATAAACCAAAAACAATTTCTAAATAAATCATTAGGGCGTATAGGCTAGAAATTAACTTTAAACACTACAGCAGTGTTTGAGAGCAATATTTGCTATATAAACAGCCGCCATCTGTAAATTAGAGTGTTTCCCCCTGAATCTCTAACTAGACTAGAATTCATCCAAAAATACTTAAACACGATGGCTGCTAAATGCAGCTAACTACTAAAGTAAACGAGCTTGGTTGCATCTGATGAAAACATAACATAGTTAATCTTTATTTATTAGTGAAAAGTTATAAAAAATATGTTTTAAAACAGGTAAGCCTACCTACTAAAAAATATAGGCCAATGATTTTATGATTCACCTTCCCTTTCACATCACTGACTAGCCTGAGTAGCCTCCGACGATTTTACATAATTCTCAGTTATCAGTTATCTAGATTCTAGATCTAAATCTAGTCTAGATTCTCTAACTCTACCGATTCTACCTGATACCTAAACATAGTAAACAACGATACGTTGATTATTTAGACTTAGTAGTTAGTAGTTTAAGTTTAGTTTAGTCGTTAGAATATGGATTATGGTTAGATGACCGATTTGTTTGGACATTTGAATGGAATTGGGTAAAAATCTAGCTAGCCTAGACATCTAAGACTAGATTAGATCTAGATTCTAGAACTAGATTCTTAAAAAATCTAGATCTACATTGCGACAGCTTTCTTGCAAGATTTACAGAAACAATTAGATCTAGATACAGATTTTGCTCATAACTAAATTAATGGCAAAAATAGTGTCGAACTTACCAACTTTTTTTTTTAAGTGACCTTCTTTCTAGCAGTAGGTTTCGAGTTTCGTTAATAATCACATCCGAGTTTTATTAAAACTAAAACTAATATTTTAAAAAGTAGGCCTAATGTGCTATAAGCGGAAGAAACATTATTGCATTAAATTTAAAGCTTCTTTAATCCTAATATATAAATCCCCACGTTCGCACATCTCTCTCTCTCTCTCTCTCTCTGTCTGTCCGCAAAATATTTTCGCCGGACATCACGTCAGAATCGGCAGCGATATATGAAGAACTTTTTACGGACTTTTGTTGAAAATAATATGTTAGATGTTTTAAATGTATAACCACAATTTTTAGTTAAAGAAGAAAAATAAAAATTAAAGGCGTATTCGAATGTAGAGAAACAGTATTATTTATGCAAACGGAAAAGCATTAATATATGTGAAAAAGAACGCATAAAACTGTGACGTCACTATTGCTTATACATTAACTAATGACGTCATCTGCCGTGTTTAGAATGAAAAGAAATGAACTATTTCATTCAAATTTGATTTAGATCTACGTACACTATGAAATGTATACAATACAATTTTTCCGGCCTAAACTCATAAAATTTATTTTATGTATTTGGATTCTAGATCTAGAGATTCTAGATCTAGACTAAATCTAAATCTAAATCTACGCAATAACTAGATCTAGACGTAGACTGTCGTAGACGCTAAGATCTAGATTTAGACTCTAACTTCTCTAAAATCAATTCCAAAAATAAATTTCTATATTAGGACTAAACTATTTCAAGACTTATTTATTTTATACAAAATCTTTGTTATGAACTGGCTAATTTGGGATAAAAAATTAATTTGAAAGAATAGGCATATTCGCGTAAGTTAAGATTTTAAAATACGTGTTTCATTCTCCGTATTTTGTAAGGTGCCTAAATAGCGGAGATGTTAGTGTACATTAAACCACGCAGGTGGTGCGGGTTCGAGACACAGCAAGTCAACTTGGTTAATGTATTCTTTTTTATTATGCTCGGGCTAAACTTAAAAAAAAAAATTCTTTTAGGAATCTAGATCTAGATCTAGATTGTCGGGTGTCCGATAGGGCACTTCCCGGCGCCGCAGGCGTTTCAAATTTGGCAGGATCTTGCCTTGGTGCGACAGAACACGGGGGCCGGTTGGCCGAAAAGTCTACGATGTGGGGGTCAAAACTGACCTCGACTGACCGGTACCTTATATGAGCTATAAATAAAAAAAAATGTCCACGGAGGAATCTCTTCATAACTCTTGAGGTCGTAGACCGACCTTCGGGCGAATTAATTAAGCATTCAAAATCAAAT